CCCGTTCGCGGAAGACAAGGAAGAGGGCAAAGGCTGGAAAGGGCAGCTTGGTCGGGCTATGCTTAGCGGTGCACCCAAGTACTGGCTCGGTGCCGATGAGGGCGAGGACTGGATGCGTGGGGTTGGTGGCAGATTCAGGAAGCCTACACAACTCGACCAGCCTGTGGGCTTCAACGAGCGAGAGAGGAGACGTAGATCCGGGACTGGCCCGCCTGTGCCGCAGCTAAAGATGTTGAACCCCGAGTTGCCCAAGTAGACTTGTGTGACGAGGCAGACACAGCGGCTTGGTGGGTGCGGCAAAGGAGATGATTGACGAAGGAAGCGAAGTCGTAATGACCTGGCATCAGGGAAGCGCCTTGGGGGATCAAAGCGTATTTGTACTATACCTATTACCTATTAATGTTTTTTGGCGTACATGGGACGTGGCAATGCACATGACAGCGACTTGTCGGGTTTTGCTACCTACACGTAGCGGTGCGTGTCGGTAAAGTCGGATCTGATGCTGAGCTCATCCGGCCTTGGACAGAAGCCGTCGTCTCGTTTCCGTATTTTTGTCTCCACGCCACAGCATCCTGGCCTGATTTAGCAGACCGGCAAACGCATGTAGTCAGGGCAATCGCGGCCGAGTCCCGTGGCGTTGCGTGGCCGAGGCAGGCCTTTGTCGACCACTCAGCATCTTGTCAAAGGCCGTCTAAGCCCCGCTTGGCTAGTCGATGCGCATCAGGTGAATGGCCGCCTGTCTCACCCTCACCGCCGGCGTGCATTTTGCTCCCTGACATCCACAGCCCCGGCGAACCGTTGGGCAAGCATGTGCCGGCCTTGGGTGATGCGTAGTGGGTTGCCGCACGCGTGTGCCACTGTCACACATCCGTCCAGAGACGGCCTGGATGACCTGTCATACATGGCCTGTTTGAGGTCTCGAGCCGCACTGATAAGGGGGCTGTCTGGCTGCACTTCAGTAGCTCTTGGATAGGGCTTGCTAACTGCGGGCTTTTTCTCCTGCCAATCTTACGTTTTTTTCTTGGAGATACTTTGGCTCAACGTTGACTCCTGACTAAACTCTGCAGCCGCCTCGAAAACTTTTTCCCAAACTTGTTATATTCCGACATTAATATTCCCGCTGTTTTCTTTCTCCTTCTGGACACTACCGTAAACAATCAAAAAAAAAGAAAGAAAGAAAGAAGAGCGAATTTGGCAAGAGAAGGAGTACAGTTTTCTAGAATGGGCTTCTTTCGTCGATCACTTAGCTTTGGCTCCTCGCATTCGCGCCCACCAACCGACGACTCGGCATCAGATACCGCTAGCTCGAGGACGAGCATAGATTCTGCTTTTGACAATGAAATATCAGAATCGCTGGCCACAATCACCAAACTACCGCAAAAGGCACCGATTCTCACTCTTCCGGTCGAATTGATCCAGCAAGTCAGCACTTATCTCGACACTGGCTCTGCAGCATCTTTTTGCCTCTCCAGCCGCTTTGTTTATTACGCTCTCGGCACCAACGTACTATCAGCTCACGTCGAAGGAAGCAAGAACCGGTTCGAGAAGCGACGTATCATCGAGGCCGTTGTTGAACGAGCATTCCCCGGCCATTGGTTCTGCGGCTGGTGTGATAAATTTCACTCATGGAACACAAACGACGGACCAAAGACTCCAGCCCGAGGAAGACGACGAGACTGCGCCGACTTTAACAGCTACCTCTACTCTGGCAGTGACTACGTTGTCCGCTATCACCACGTCCGGCTCGCTATCAACGCCTCCCTCCTCGGACCCGAACATGGTATCCCACTATCAGCCTTCACTCACGAGCAGCGAGGTATGGCCAAGATTTCCAGGACCCCCGTACCTACCAAACTTCAAATATCAGCAAAGATATCCGGAGGCCGTTTCCTGCTACATTCCTCCTTTGCCATTATCCTCCCTTCCTTCGCAAAGCGCAACCGCAACTTCCTCAGCACCGTCTGGCCCCTCCTCCCGCACATTCTGTCAGGCCACCACGACAGCGAAAACGGGCACACAGGCCTCATGGCTGCCGTCGACAACGTCGTGCGCCGCGGCTGGAAGTATCAATTCACGCAAAACTGCAGCATGTGCGCTACCGACTGGGCCGTTAGCGCCCAAGAGTTTCCCCACGCGACAGGCGGTCAGATGCGCCTTGTAGTCCAGACCTGGCGCGATCTGGGCACCGCGCGGACGCCCTTTGAAACCAGCTGGCGCGCCCATGGTGTGTGTACTGCCGAGAACTGGAAGAACAACGGTGCGGCGGCTGCGACGTGCTTGCTGAGAACGGCGTCGTTGCAGGCTGGTGCTATTCGGCGGGCGTTTGAGAGCGAGGAGGCGAACGACGAGGCGGGTAGTAGTGGTAGTGGAAGTAGAGTTATGCAGAAGAGCGGTTCATCGGGGGCACGCATCTATCGCTCTTTTATGAGGAAGAATACGGTCGAGGAAGAGGAGCATGACGATGCGCGTGCTGTTCGGAGGTCGAGTGCCAGACCCAGGTACTGGAGGACTGCCGAAGAGAATGCAGAGGCCGCGCGTAGATATGACGAGGAGAGGAGGGATGCAGTGACGAGTGCGGCTGAGGATATGGCTAGAATGACTGCTCAACGTGCGAGGACGTTGGTCTAAATGGCGGGGTATTCTTTCTTTCCTTCTTTTTTTTTATCTGCGAACTCGCACCCGTTGATCTGCATGGGCGTTTTTTTTTCTTCTTTTCTTTTAGATATTTCTCTCCCTCTTCTCCCTCGTCGAAGCGTTCTTAGCGAGTACACATACTAACATAGTTGGCCCGGCGTTTATAAGAGTAGATCGGCGCGAAAACATCAACGCCCAACATAGATAAGAGATGTTTCACACGAAATCACATTTTCTAGTTCACTAAACAAAGATGTCCCCCCCTTTTTTTTGAATGCAAATTTCCATTTGTTCTACTTTGTAATGCACACATTTCTAGTAGTCCCACCCACTTTCCACCACTCAACAAAAAGTTATGTACAATTTCCGAGATTGTCGAAGCGAAAGTATCGAACAAGAAGAAGAAGAAGAAGAAGAAGAAGGTCTACCTACACGTCTCTCATCAAGATCAAGAGGAGTGCAAAGTCCATCCATAATGGGGGGGGGGGCGCGCTCTTCAGAGAAAGCGCTTTATGCGGGCTGAGCAAAAGTAGAGCCAATAGGACCAAACTTGATGTTGGAGAAGACAACGGTAGCATCGGGAGAGTTCTTCTCGACATCCTCTGGCTTACCAGAGGTGGTAGGGCAGGTACCACGGGCAGCACCGGGCTTGGATGGGTCAGCGTCGGTGGGGTAGGTAGAGTCGAGCCAGAGCATGTTGACGGCGTGGTCGTCCCAGAGGGACATGACGAGGACGTGGCCGCGAGCAAGCGACGCACCCATCTCGTTGAGGCCGCCGAGAGCGGCAAACGACGAGGTGTCGCCAAAGGCCTTCTTCTGTGCGGTACAGAAGCTCTCGGTGATGGAGTTGCCGGTGACGCCTGCAACGGCCGACTGCGAGTTCTTGTAGACCTTGCCGTTCTGCACGTAGAAACGCTTGATCTCGGAGAGGCTGGAGCCGGAGCCGAGGAACTGCGTGATGACCGTCATCTTCTTGGTGGTGTCGAGGGTGGCGCCGGGGCCGTAGAAGTCCTTGACGCCCATGCGGTAGCTGTTGAAGTCGCATCCGTCCTTGTCGCACTGGCCGTCGTAGCGGTTGGAGCCGTCACCGCAGCTCGCGGCGTCGGAGCACTCCTGGAGACCTACGCCGCGGCAAGGGTGAGGCGTATAGGCAGTCGAGATGGAGTTGGCCTCCCAAATGTCCATTTCAGGGCAGCAGGCACCAATCTTGCCGGCGCCACCGTTGGGGTCGGCATCAGAGGGGTTCCAGCCCTCGACGTTGGCCTTGCCGTTGATGAACTTGATGTCGTGAGGGCACTGGGAGTCGCAGTATCCAGTTCCGTACTTGGCACCAGCCTTGTTGTTGCCCTTGCCGATGCCACCGTCGGCGGCCATCTCGACAAAGTAGAGGGCACCGTTCAGACCGCAAGGAAGCTTGGAGACATCGACGTCAAAGGTGAACTCCTTGTTGATGAGATTGAACATCTGGTACTTGGTGTCCGTCTCCATGAGGTAGGTACGCGAACCAATGTTGCTGGAGAAGGAGCCCTTGGTGACAAACTTGAGGGAGAGAGCGTTGTTGCTGGTAGTGATACCATAAGTGCCTGGATATGTTAGAACAAACTTCCCTCATTTTTCCACTCAGTCGAGCAAACTTACCAGAGTAGTCAGCACCATCGATAGCGCAGTTCTTGGTGCAAGAGTCACCATCGGGGCAGTACTGGGTGCTCCAGGAGTTGCCAGTGTAGCAGTTGGTGTATCCGCCAACGTTGTGGGCCCATCGCCAGTTGGAGTCGAGCACAACGGAACCAGACTTGTTGGAGCAGTTGGTACCACCGGTACCCGTGCAGGTTTGCCAGGTCAGCTTGGGGTGGTTCTCAGCAGTGCTGGTGCCAACCTGCTGAGCGCGGGCGGCTCCGTAGAGCGAAAGAGAGGCGAAAGCAAGTGTCCTGTACATGTTGACTGGCTTGAGTAAAGAGTCTGCTGCTGGATATCGAACTTTTCTGCTTGTTGGGGACTCCCCCTTTTATATCAGAAAAAAATATCTCCTGCTCTTGAGTACTATCGGTGGTACTTTGGAAAAAGTACCTACGTGACCTCCTTGGGCGTTGCACGCTGCAGGAGATCTGCATACCAAGGCTCTCCTGCAGAGCGTTCTCACCAATACCACAAGTAAAGCGGGACGTCGGGAGTGTAGAACGTTGCTAGAAGTGCCAAACTAATGAAGAGTAGATGAAGCATCCTTGGCTGCTTCTTGCCCGTGGGGTATTCCGGGGTACTGTGGAGATCTCTACGCCACAGGAACCAGTGCCTTGCCTTAAGCAGATAGTGGATGGGTGGGGAATAATACGAAGCTTCAGAGCACTATGCACTATGACTAGCCAATATCATTGGCAATATAATGTCTTAGCCTTGGATGCTATTCGACAGCAAACAACTAGCCTCATATGTGTGGAGGCAAAGGTGTGGATCGGCGTCGGCACCTCCATCATTGTCTTCGCCCATATACATTGCCGCTGTGTCACGCGTTGTTCTATGGATAAAGACGGGGCATGTTTGTATATTGTCACAACTGCATGTGGTTTCTGAATGTCAATCACAGTGTAAGATCTCTCATGTAGGAGATCTCTTCACCACTACTGTAGCGCCCGGTATCCGGTTTAGTGGTCTTGAAACCTGGTTAAGATATATTGCATGGCCAACAACATGTGAGCACATATGAGCATGTCTTCTAGAAAAGAGGTGGTCGGCCCGATTTGGGAGGTTAATCTACGGTACAGTACTGTCAAGGTCATGAGGCTTACCTGCTTATACGGGTATCGGTATTGACCAAAAGAGCAAGGTTTCTTCAGTGGCTCGCTTCGCTCGTAGCGGCGAAAGCATGGTACAATGGCAAAGAGTGGTGTTTGGACGCAACGAAGATTCTCTACAGGGAACGCAGAGCTAACTTGATAAACCTTGTCCAAGAAATCTATCAATACGCATGTATGCTCCGTGAATCTCCTGATATGCCCACAGTAAAGAACACCACCTGGCAGCGAAGCCAAGGTGGATACTGAGAGAACCAGGTCAAATGACCTTTGACTGTGGGTTTCAGGAACACGTTAGGAGGAGCGTGTAGCCAAGTTGAAAATGTTCCGGGATAAACGGGACGAGACTCCTCTAAAAAAATTGGCTGTGCCCTGTCCAAAGCTTCGTACGAGTGGTCCGAGTCTTCACAAGAAGGCATCGACCCGAACCCTCGGTTAGTCTTCTGTGCTAGATAGATTGGTGTCCAGGGATGTTGGCTCGCCAAGACCGGGGGTTCGCTTCGAATTTGTCCGCTTCGTCGGCCTTTGACGTATGAACTGGCGAGGTACCGATCCAGAAACAGTTGATACGGTTAGTCCAGAGTTGAGCCCCTCAATATTTGCCGTGTTATACGACGAGGTTGCGGACAGTTGAAAGTTAAAATCTTACCCTGTGGACCCGGTGTTCAGTTCAGCCTAATCAATCAACAACGGGCCAATCTAAGTTCCAACCACTCAAGACCAACTGTATGCCTGCACTTTGACGATCAGCAGTGTACAGCAACGTGATTCCCGGCGGGCGGCAATTATTCCTGGGCCGGCGCGCAAGGTTTCTTATGTGCAAAACATTGCAGCCGGGTGCAAACCGCTGAGCCGCAATCATTAGTACACGACCAACGAATAGGTCGATGAGCTGTTTGATTAGATAATGCGCTCAAAAGTCTTCTGGTAGAGGTATCAAGCAGTCACCGATTGCATGCCGTATCTCTCGAAGATTATAGTATCTGGTACAATATCAGCAGAATACCCTATCTGTTAGTTCCCTTGCCAGACACTGTCAGTCGGACAGTGGCGCACAAGTTCATCTGAGAAAAGATTGCAGCGCTTTTGCCAAAAAGGGTGAAATAGAATTTGAAATGAGCCCACATGTAGGAAGGTGGTAGGTACGAATAAGACTGCGAGATAAGACAGGTACTCAGGAAGGAGATCAGATTCTACTCGCCTAAAGGACAGGCCTGGTTTCTGCTCTTGCAATTTTGCAATGCTCTCGTGACAGGAACCCCATCAGTGGCCCGCTTTGTGCCTATTTCTTGTAATGAATTCCTTCTGTCTTAATGCTCTCCGCATCCCCTTGGTACCTTTCGGGAGCGGAGACACGATCCTTTCCCTGTGTGGCAGGTCTCACTGCGCCCTTCTCGATAACTTGCTCAATTGTAGCGAAGCTGCCTCTACGATAGACGACTACAGTTGAGATCCTGTAGAAGACCTATCATTGAGCTGTACTTGTGAGACGACAAGTCGTATTCCTGCTCAAAAAATGGTGGATTCTTCCGTTCTTCAATCACCACCACCAGCCTTGACCTCGAAAGCCCCGGCTTAACAACAGTATGGTTATCGAGGTCCGTTGGCTTCCAACTCAACAGGGTGTTGTGAGCTTGACAATTCAACAGGATGTCGTGCGCTTGACAGCTCGACCAGTTGTCCTTCTGTATCCTTTTCATGGTATTGCTGCAAATGCGAGTAACTATTGCTCTCTCCGTCCAATTCGACAACAGACTTGTCCATCTGTCTGGCTCTTCCGCTGCTTCTCCACAAGTAAATTGCTACGACCAGGAGTGCAATTCCAATGACCGGCCCAATAACGGCGCCTGCTATCCATGTCTTGTTTTGTCGTTCAGGTTCAGGTCCAGATCGAAGTTCAGATTCAGGATTAGGGGTAGCTTGCATCACATCCAGCCTACTGGTAGACACGTCGATTGATGGTGATGCTGATACTACTAGGGTCGGTGTTGGCACGACTTCTGTTGAGGTCACACTCAGAGGCGGGGGTGGTGCTGAGGATGTAAGGGTACTCAATGATGTTGTCGTCGCTGGCAATTCCCGGTAGATGGTATAAGCTTTCCAGTTCATACGGCAGCCGTAGTTAACCGCAGATGGGAGTCCAGCTGGAGAGGTCGCATAGATCGTGGCCTGAACGCATGACACTTCTCCGGTGCTGATATGTGTTAGTATGAGTGAACATATCGAAGGCCATGGTAGTGCTCACCAGGGCCACACGGAACCATCATCGAGATACAACTTGTTATCTGAACATTTTGTCGCTAATGCACAGCGACCACTGGTGTTGCAGTCACCTGCATAGGTCCCAGAGGTGATCCAAGCATCACCTGCCAACAGTGGCTCGACTGGAACAAGTTGAGTTATGCGCATCCAACGCGAAGACGCGAACGAGACGTACTAGAATCAGGACCGATGTAGTAACCAATGAATCGTGAGTTCCATTTCGAAGTTACTTGGCAGCTTGCGCAAATCACCAAGAAAGAAAGAACGGCTAGTGTATGTTGGACAGTGGACAGCATTATTGTGCGAGGGCGCGATGGGAGGCTCCGCGGCCTCAAAAGGAGAGCAATTGAGGCGGGCACCAAAACAACGCAGATGCCCGCCCAAACGCTTTCTTGTCTGCATTGTGCGGGCCTGACAATCCTATGGAAGGATCCCCAAGTTGGGGGCCAAAAGGCCCCATCTAGGCTAGGATGCCTGAATTTCCGTTCCCTTGGCCGTCTAGAAAATTGCAACGGGTTAGATGGTAGCTGTATTGGAACAAGCTTGTTAGCCGTCAGCCCCCCTTCTAGTTTCAAAAAAGCTGTTAATATCCGAAGCTCAAAGATACAGATAAGCTAACACAAGTCATTGTGTTTTTGATACTACTGTGGCTGTTTCGGTATGACAAGCAGTGAAGCACCACAGAGTCTAGCCCAATGCTGGTGAACAGTCTGTATGGAGCGAAGAACAAATATCCTTTAGGAACTAAATGAACAGCGGCCTGCCACATAAAGAATTCGATTCAGTATTAGATCTCTTTCCTTGGCGTGACGTTATCTGTCTCCATATCGCATCTACATCCTAGGAAATCCATTGGTTTGCATTCCTCTTCAACAACATCACCTGACATAGCCATTCAGTGTGGCTGATAAAAACAAATATAATTGCTCACCCATGGGCGATAACAGGTACCCTCTGCAAAGTCTATAGAGCCCTTGGACCAGCCAGATCCATACTCACAAAAGAAAAGCCCCTCTCCATCCTCGCTGGCGTATGTACAGTTTGGTTCGTGCTACTGTAGAATCTCGCCTCTTTATCGGTGTGTTCCACACGTAGTTCATCCGCTAGTCGCCCACTGGCATTCGGTGCTCTCTATTCCTTCTTGATGGTATCCGGGTCTGAGAGGATACCCTCGGCTTCAAGTCTTCGTCGTGCCTCCTCTAGGGCCCAGGTTTGGATGCTATACTACTGTTAGCTGCTGCTCAGGTTTGTGCTATTTTCCTCCCGCTTCCGTTTCCCCTTGGTGCTTTCCATGGCTCATATGACTCGCCGTTCCCATTCATTTTGCCACAGCTCTGCGCTACCCGCCAACCCACAATCGTGAGATTAGACATACCTGGTATCAGGCTTGAAAGCATAAGCGACAACTCCAAACGCACATGCGCCTCCGAAACCCCAGTACATGGCATTTTCCCACCCCTCCTTCTCATACGCTTCGCCGGGCTTAACACCGAACAGCCATCCTGATGGAGGGTCGTAGCTAGGCCCATGACCGGACTGCTTTGCTTGTGATCGCGAGAAGGCACGGGTGGCGGTACGTGGGGTGGCGGAAAGGGTAGAGGCGATGGCGCGGGAGCCGCTGGTTGCGGCGCGGATCGAGTTCATGATTGTTTTTTCGATGTTATACAACCAGCTTGAAAGGGCGAGTCAATTGTGACAAAAGGTATCCCAGCGTGGGATGAGGTGGTCGTGAAGCTGAAGGGGCGTTGGCGGTGCGTCGTCAGGTCTGAGGTTCGGCGTTGGTTGCGAGAGCTTGGCTTGGCAACGGAAAGCTAGCCCTACCCGAGACGTCAGACCGCCCGATGCATCTACACTACACATTACGCCGTCTTGACTCACACAACGGCTATCTACATGCAGTTAAAGTATATGCTTTCCAAGTTCCAAGAGCAGCTATTAATCTAAAGCTATGGACAAACATGAGTACGATGCACGAAGTGTTCCTCAAATGCAAGAGGATCATGTCTCTGTATATGTATGTAAGATCTAGTAGGAGCTGATAATCCATCAACGCCAGTGCCATGCCCCCAAGAGAACGCCTCATAGATTAAATAACAGATCATGCGTGTACAGGGACATGACTCTCCTCGGAATCCTCCGTTTCGTCGTGTCGCTGCTGGAATGACATATTTGCCATACCTTGGGAAGCTTCATTGACCTGCTCTTCCGTCCTTTCATCTTCGCTCTTGGCTGCAATGCGATCCATCCTCTCTTTGCGTCTCATCTCAGCCTCTTCTAGCTCCGCAAGCCTTGCAGCCGTCTTTTCTGCTTCCTCCTTCTCACGCTTCTCGCGATCTGCTTTTTCGAGGGCTTCAAACTCGTCGTCAATCTCACCCTCATCAAGAGGCTGACCAGTCTCGCTGAGGATGTTGGTGATTTCTTCTGTAGTGGCCATCTGCTCATTGACAGCATCCACTACTCCTTGAACACCCTCGGCGCCGCCAACCTTTTCGTTCAAGCCCTTGAGTGCCGCTGCACCAGCACGCATAGCTTCCACTATCTCGACTTGGTCTGCGGCTTGCTGAAGGTCTGTGTATACTTGCTCAAGTTGGAGAGCAACGTCTGAGCGTTGAGCGAGGGCACTCTCTGCAAGCTTCTTGGAGCGGAGTGCTGCCTTGGCACGAACCATCTGCTTCAAGGCTACGGCCTCGCGAGCTGCAGCATCCGCAGCGGCGATTTTCTCCATCAATGGCGGGATCTGCGCATTGATCTTTGCTACCGTGTCGCGAAGATTGGCGATAGCGGCATCCTCCTCTGTGATGGGTAGAGGTACATGCTCGTGTTCTGGCTTGAATTTGATCGTCTCCGCGTTGTATGATATTGCCTGCTTATCGCGAGCTAGAAAAGCCAGTATGATGTTCAGGTCGTTTGTCGTGAGCGACGCAGAGGGGTTGAGCACGGTCGAGAAGCGCTTGAGAAAGTCGGCCCTTGATAGTACGCGGTCGGCTGTCGATGTATAATCCTTCATTTTGCTGAGTATCTCATCCGCAGCGACCTCGACATTCTTCAGAATGACAAAGTTTCCAACCTCCATCTTGGCCGGTGCTTGCGGTTCGCCAAGTACCCCGACCTGCCGCAAGCTCCATTGTAACACCCTCCAGGGCGATGGAATCCACGACGTCTTGTATATGCTCTCCTTGGAACTGAGAAAATCTTTGAGAGGTATCATCTCCTTCTTCTGAACGGCCTCATGGAACACGGCGGGTAAGCATGTCGGCTTCCCATATTGTGGATGTTGGAGCGCTCGCGCAAGCTCGTCAGCTGCCCGGATGTTCAGAAGATCGTGTGTGGTGCCCTGTGTGGGAATGACACCCGCTCGCGCAGCATCAGTGAGCGCCTTGGTCCATGCTGCGATATTCGCATGGTAGCCTTCGGGGTTGATATCGAGTTGCTGGCGGAAGTCGGCATACAACGATGCGAGGCGATGCTGGCTGGGACAATCAGGCAATGCAGGGCGAGCGCCAGTCGAAGCTGGACTTACTTCTTGAAGGCTTCTTCGTGCTGCAGTATGAAGTCAAGCAGCTCATTCATGTCGCGCTCTGCTCTGGGTGTCCACTGCGGTTTGGTGTGCTTGGGGCGAAAGAGGGTACGCTTCCGCTTGTGACGTCCAAGCGTGGGGTCGTTGCTAAAGATGGAGACGTGGGGGCCGGAGAGGTCGCCAGAGGCCTTGCGTTTAAGCATGTGCGCGTCGGGGGATCCACGGTACCTAGCAAAGTGCCTATCCAAGCTGACGACAAGATCCAATACGGTCTAGCGTAAGAGATGATTATTCGTGTGCTACATCGGTACACAAACTATACATGCTAGGCTGATGTGTACTGTAAGGAGTGCGGGGGCGCGTGCAGCCGCTCACCGATGCGACGCGTTGTTCCAAGGCTATGTGCCCCGCTAATCATGCCCGTCTACGGCAATCAACATGGCTGAAACAATTGGCCTTGGACCAGAGAAGAGTTTGTAATCGAGCCATGTCTTGGGGGTGTATGAAAAGAATTTCAGGGCCCAAGTACAGCTTGCTATGAGTTGTTGGCATTGCCCTTCGAGTAGCGATATGTTATACTATCACGCATCGTACGCCTAGACCTCTTGATTCCTATTTGCGGGAGACCATTTGTGCATGGCTTTATGTATTATTGATTGTACTATAAACGCCGATTCCATCGCCCATCCAAGTGCTTTCCGTCTCTCAAACTCTTATGTTCCCCTGAGTTAAAAACTTATTCGCACGAACAGTTTAGATGAAACCTGTGCCACGATTAGGCCATTAAAGTTGTGCAAAGGTTCCAGAGAAGACGTAGACATAGAGCCACGAATAGATCATAGCATCTCTCAATCAACAACTCCGGACAAGGCGTAATGTCCATCACTTTCTGACAATGTTGATGCCACTGCCCTTGTTCTTCTCCATGAACTGCCGCATCTCCTCCAAATCGTCCATGTCGTCGTCGCTATCTCCGCCCTTGGGTTCATTCGACGGTTTCGTTTTTGGCGGCGCTTGTGGAGCGTGTTGGGGTGGAGGGTCTCGCATCTCTTTGGTCTCTTCCTCCCATGCCTTCCTCTCCTCCTCGTCCAACTCGTCTCGCCTGTCCAGCCACCTCTCTTGCACGTCGCGAGCGTCTATGGTTGCCCCATTTTCACGCATAGCCATCTGCCAAACAGTATCATTTGCGCCCTCGATACCGCCCATTGCAAAACCTCCCGCTCGATCAATGGCCCGCAGGAGTGTCATCATACTCTTCTTGTCCTCGACTGCCAGTGTCTCAAAGCCCACAAGTGCAAATTCCTCAACGAGTTCCACAATCGCCTTGTTAAGCGCAGAAAACTTTGAAGTCGGTTCGTCATCATCCATGTCCATGGTTTCGTTTGCGCCAGCTGTTGTAGGACCTGGTATGCCGGACGTCTGCTCGCGGTTTAGGTGCGGTAGTAGGTATTGTAGGTCTTGGACTTCTGTGTAGAAATCAAGGTTGAAGGGTAGGTTGGGATAGTTGCGCAAGTTGTCGATCTTGGTCAGAACGTTCAGGTGGGGAAGGTCCATCTGCAGCATGCTGCGCAACGCGAGGAGTAAAGACGAGACATACAGCGATGGTCGGGAAAGGACTATCGAATCCGTCAAGTGTACGACGACGAGCTGTGAGAGGTTAGCGCTCAGTTGCGCGCCATGGGTGGTGGGCGAATACTCGATACCCGAGTTTTTGTAGCCGGAAGAAGATGTTCCGCAGAGATCCGTGATGTGTGAACAGCTCGACCTGTCCTGGACAATCGAACAAAATGTAATCATCTGCATCGCGTAAGTATCCTTTCACCAAGCCTGACTACATGGATGCGGACCTCCGAGTTCCTTCAAGCCCTCTTCTAGCCAGTCGAAATTATGCTCCAGCTCCTCCAGGGCAAACAAAACGCCACCATTTGGACCCAGAGACTCTTGTTCCATGATCTCGTCAATGGTAACTAGGTCCCGGACGTCGACAGCTGGCTGGTACGAGGTGTGGTCGTTCGCGGGGTCAAGGTTGACGACTGAGCATTTGCGTTCAATGGCGTCCATGAACTGTTGCATGCCATCACAGTAGGTCGACTTTCCGGAGCCTGGCGGGCCTATTACTAGTTGTGCGAACGGCATCTTTGTGGTTGCGAAAGTGACGTCGCTTGCGAAGGTGAAGTGAGAAGGACAGGGCGCCGGGGAACTTTTGGAGGGGCCTTGCTAGCGTGCATCCCAAGTTATTTGTTTAGTTGCGGACCTCCGACCTTGCGGAGCTTCACTCCAGCTCCCATCTCTCCACACTCTCCAGCAGCCAGCACCGCCAACATGTCGAGTAAGTGGTCCATGTTTCCCTAGTATTGAAATCCACTGCTACAGCGTCAGCTTTTAATGCGCATTGTCTCCATTAAACCCTATGAATGCGAGCGCTGCAAACTGTCGCACCGTAGTAGTGTTCCCTCGACTATATACTGGAAATTGTACACGCCCTAACATGGATACACAGGTCAATTCGAGCTTGCGCAGAACCCAACTGAACCTATATCCTCCGTCAAATTCGCGACCAACAACCCGACACGATTACTTGTTTCATCCTGGGACCGCCATGTTTACCTCTACGACACTCACGCAGAGCCCGGCGGAAAGCTGCTGCAGAAGTTCGAACACCGTGCGCCAGTATTAGATGTCTGCTTTGGTCGCGACGACAATGAGGCCTTCTCTTGCGGCTTGGACTGGGAAGTGCGAAGGATCGACCTCGAGACGGGCGCGCAAACTATCATGTCTACGCACTCGCAGGGTGTTCGCAACGTACTCTTCTCTACCGCGCATAACCTATTGATTTCATCGTCATGGGACTCGACACTACATCTGCACGACCTGTCGCAACCAGGCGAGTTCTCCGCTGTCCGCCTGCCCTCGAAGCCTTTCTCGCTTTCCGCGTCACCCACCAAATTGGTAGTTGCCATGGCCAGCAGAGCGGTCAACATCTACGAACTAGAGAAGCTAGCAGCTGCAGCTAAGACGGGTGAAGAAGAGGTGAGCGTAGAGCCGTGGCAGCAGAGGGAAAGCTCGATGAAGTACATGACGCGCGCTGTTTCATGCATGCCAAACGACGCTGGCTATTCGAGTTCGAGCATCGAAGGACGTGTTGCAGTCGAATGGTTTGACCCTTCCGAAGAGTCGCAGTCGCGAAAATACGCATTCAAGTGCCACAGACAGCAAGTAGATGGTCAGGATATAGTGTATCCAGTCCACGCGCTAGCATACCACCCAGTCCACGGTACCTTTGCTACAGGAGGGGGTGACGGCATAGTGGCGCTTTGGGATGCCGTAGCAAAGAGGAGGATACGGCAGTACCAGAAATTCCCTGCCAGCGTTCAGACTATTGATTTCTCAAACGATGGCAAATATGTGGCCATTGGAGTAAGTCCGGGATTTGAGGATGGCATAGATGATGTACCAGACGGTGTCACCAAGGTATTCATCCGAGAGCTAAGTGCGACGGAGGCTTCAGGCAAAAAGAAATAGACATGTTATGGGATGTTGCAGAAACACTTAGAGGAGCTCCGGGCAGTGATAATTATACCAAATGATGATGAGAACTGTAACTTGTTTCTTTTCCTGATTTTAGAGTCTCACTGATACATAAAGTTGGCCTCGTGGTGTGATACTTGTGATATGAGTAGTTTAACACGTGAAAACAGCCTTTGAGAGCAGGAACATCGGCAAGTGACTTGCTTGGACTCTTGGCTCTTGACTTCTCATGCGTTCAGGCGCCCTTTGTGAGTCAGCCGTTAGGCTTCCAGCATTCTACGCCACAACCACAGGTATCAGCCTCCAGTCCACTACTCCTTTATCAATGTTATCATTGACTATATGAACCATGAAAAAGTACATTTTGTCAGGAAAGTAGCTACAAAACTTCAATCATGGGATCTAAAGTCTTATCTCTTGATTCAAGACACCTTTCCTTTTTGCATATTTTCCATCATCCGTGCATTCGAATCTCTTGTCTTGCCACATGTGCTCTTCTCTTTTTGCTTCTCATTTTTTTTTTGCAAAAGCTATCTGTAAGACCAGATTCCGTATTTATCCCATAGCACGCTTAAGTACCTGTATGTACATGCCCTTTCGTTCACACATGACCGTGTTGTATTCTAGTATGTGGTCAAGTGGTGTCTGGTAGGCTATTATGATTCTTTTATGATCATTTTGATTTCTGTTACTTACGATACATCGTCAGCATCGTATATAAATGCCCAATATGCTCGGGTCTTCCACAGGCAAGGGTGAGAGGTGCAGATGACGTCTGGCGCTAGTAGGCTTATCGATAGTCCCTCCACATTTTCCTACATGTCGCGACTCACCCTTCAAAATCACCAAGATGGCTTTCCGCAAGCGCAATGTAGCGCTTTCACGCGCACCAGCTGGGGAGGACGCGTCAAATCTACTATCTGCTCCTTCTGTAACCCCGCCAGCACCAACACCACCAGGTGTCCGTCCTTCACCCATTGATGGCCGCCCCACTACTTCAACCGGTACACCCTCGCTTGATGGTATATTAGCAGGGCATGCTGGCCTGGCACTGGGGCATTCTATATTGATAGGGGAGAGCGGAACAACGGACTATGCAGGCGCATTGCTGCGGTTTTATGCGGCTGAGGGGGTGGTCCAGGGCCACAAGGTACATGTGGTTGGCATGGGCGAGGTATGGGGGAGAGAGTTGCCCGGCATATCAGATGGCACATCAGACAAGAGGAGAGAGGGCAAAGAAAGAGCAGAAAAGATGAAGATAGCGTGGAGATATGAGGGACTGGGACAGTTCGAGACTGCGAGAGGTGCGTCTTGTACATTTAGTCTGAATTCGATGTCGCTTCTTGAACAACTCTGACGGGTTATGTGACAGGATCTCCAGGTGTACAGAGGACCGCAGTGCAAGGTGATAGTACGACGGAAGAACAGGCTGTATTCTGTCATACCTTCGACCTTGCAAAACGGCTCACCCTCCCGGTAGGAACGGCCATTAATTATGTGCCCATACCTTCACCAACGGGTGCTACCGTATCGCCATTTCCTTCAATATTGCAAAATATAAGGCAACAGCTCGCCTCGACTCCGCCCCATATAATCCACCGGATTTTGATACCGTCTCTTCTCTCGCCGGCTCTATATCCTTCGTCAGCTGCACATCCAACATCCATACTCCAGTTCCTTCATGCTTTACGAGCGCTACTGCGACAGTATTCTACGCGCCTGACCGCAATTATAACGCTTCCATTGACTCTGTACCCCCGGTCCTCTGGCCTCGTCCGCTGGATGGAAATCCTCTCAGACGGTGTCTTTGAGCTGTCACCATTCCCGTACTCGCGGATGCAAGCGCTCGCTCAATCAGCGGGTACTACCAAGGATGAAGAGCGTCCACAAGGGATGTTTGCAGTACATAAACTGCCTGTTTTCCACGAGAAAGGCGGTGGCGGAAGTGTGGAGGATTTGGGTGAGGACATGGCATTTACGTTGAGCCGACGGAAGTTTGTCGTTGCAAAATTCAGCTTGCCACCGATGGAGGGAGACACTGAGGCGCAGGAGGAAGCTGTAAGGGAAGCGGCTGGTGGTAGTGTGATGCCGAAGAAGCAAGACTTGGAGTTCTAGAACGTGTAATTCGTCTGATGCGTAAGATACCCTGCAAAGCACTGAGATGGTGAGCATGGCGCAAACTCCATCAACTCAAACACTCTCTCCTTCATTCTGAGTCGCTGTCATCTCCCAGCATGTCTTCCATTTCGATTTGTTCCCATCCTCCACTGCCAGCCCCAGACCCGAATCCTCGTGTGTAGTTGCGACCGAAGGACGCGTTCCGAGGGTTGAATGTGACGCCAGCGAATCTAGCACGAAAGCCCTCGCCCATGCAGGAAGATGCGGCAAGAAAGGCGAGGAAAAAGAGGAAAGGAATGAAGAATAACAGACTCAAAAGGACTAATACGTTCATTGTAAATTGAGGGTGTTGTCGGTACAATCGGAGGTCCAAGCCTGTGCGGTGCGGGCGTTCGAGACCCTTATGACATAGTGTCGGCGATTGGCGATTGGTCTAACCGATCCCCCTGTGTTCAACACGCCACCCAGCTCTCTCCTTCTGCCTTCTCAAGCCTCTCAAATCGAAAAAAAGATGAGCCGTATACTAAAAGCACCGTTGAGTATACTTTTGCTGCTGTCGTGCGCCTTCAATGCCTCGGCGCATGGCAGTAAGGAGCATGTGCAAGTCGAAGTACCCCCGGACGCTGATTGGGCGACTCGACACATGGCTGGTATGGGCTCCCTACTACCTTTGTGTGATGAAACACATAATCAGGATTATATCAACTAATAATACAATAGAGGAGCATCATATAGCCGGTTTCGACGCCGAATTCTTCTTCCGTCTGCACGACTATGACAACACTGGTGTCTGGGCAAGCCAGGACATTCGGCGTACCTACGGTCTTGAGGACCCGTCTAGCGCCTCGATATCTGACGCTAAGAAGCAATTGGTTGTTCAAACCATTCTCGATATGTTTGATATAAATAAAGACGGCGTAATTACTCTGGAAGAATTCGCCAAAAAGGACGCCGAAGGCACCAAGCTACCGGACTTTGGTCTAGGCCCAGGACACCACGGCGATGACGAATACGAATACGAAATCCACCACTGGGAGAAGTACCATAGCGGAGACGACGTCAAGGAGGAGGACCTGAATCACCCCGAGGACATTGCGCACTTCAAGATGCACGAGGAGAAGGAGGCTAGACAAGAGGAGTGGGAGAGGCTGGAGCTTAGGGGTGTCGTGGAAAAGAACATTCCTGAAAAGTTCAGACGACATCGATGATTTACAAAGCGCACATTGGGAGGATGTTTCACGTTGGTGGGCATTTGCAAATACCCAAAGCGTAACGAGATACTTTTGTGAAAGTGGTGATAAGCATCTGGCTATGCTTCTGCATGTGTGGACGATGTAAGAACATGAAGTGACTACGAGCCAAACTATGTAATGGATACTTAATATGGATTGTACCAAACTTGAAAATTTGCATCTGGGTCACCTCTGCAAATGACCTTCACAATAATGAGGTCCGACTTGATTCACTGACTTGGCCCTTTGGTCTTGGCTTATCCATACGATATCTTCAACTTGGTATTCCAAACATGCTCACATCATCCAGGTTCGTCTCTACACCAAAGAAACCAGTGCTCTGTGCTGAAGAAGCAGCGTTGTCGTCTCATGGAAGCATCTTCGTACATTTCAAAATATTCAAGACAATAATTGGATTTTCGTATGCAGGTAAATAGGCCTGGTGAAATTGTTATTATAGAAGAGAGGGAAAACCCGCAAGTTTTTCGAAGTGGTCGCTATTAATGATACTAGTAACAGAAAAGAAGAACGAAGGTAGAAAGGGAGTTCTCCGTTAAGAGCACTTGAGTTTAAAGCGGTAGAGCTATCTTGTAAGCGTATAGATATGTAAGCAAAATCTAGCGGGGATTGTTTAGAACTCAATGTATAGACTTCCAATTGGAGAATTGCTCTATGCGACACCCAAAACTTGGTGTAGTAATGTTGGAGATACCCTCAATTGTGAAGGGTGAAAGACTCCATTGTCGTTCGGTCAGACATGGGCGATCACATTTTCGCTCAAATAGTCTTATTAGTAGATATCACTCAATGATCAGCACATACGAAAGCACTACAAACAATATCGTGGGTGGAAGATGGTCTTGAAGGTGAACTTACAGTCCCAAAGCAGAATACGCTAGTGTCCAACATGACTAGCTCACCCGCTAGTGTACTTTGCTCTGTTCACCATCAGCCATTCAGATGTCCTCGTCATTCTGAACACCAATTGTCTATTCCACTTTTTAACGTCACGCCAATACACCATGGCTGATGAAGAAGATGTTGAGACCACCTTGATACCCAGTCTTTACAAACCACCTGCCCTGCTGCCAATTGCACAGCTTAGAGATCAGCTGCTCTATACTATAGAAACATATCCCGTGACTATCGTTGTGGGTGAAACAGGAAGCGGTAAGTTAAATCTAGAAGATTCCCAGATTTTATAATTGACAAATATCTAGGAAAAACAACACAAATACCAAAATTCTTGCTTGAGGCAGGTTGGTGCAGCAGCGGTCAGCAGATAGCCATCACACAGCCTCGGCGCATAGCATGTACCAGTGTCGCAGCAAGAGTGGCAGAAGAGTTGGGAACTCCACTTGGCCAGAAAGTCGGATATAGCATTCGGTTTGAAGATGTCACGTCAGCAGCCACGCAAATCAAGTTCGTCACAGATGGTCTCCTGCTGCGCGAAATGCTCGTCGACCCTCTGCTTTCACGCTACTCTGTCATCATGGTAGACGAAGCACATGAACGTAGCTTGTCTTCGGATATTCTACTAAGTTTGTTGAAGAAAGTCCTGAGAAAAAGGGACGACTTACGAGTGGTTGTGAGTAGCGCAACATTGGAGGCTGAGCGGTTCCTTGACTTCTTCAGTCCGGATGAAGGGGAGAAAATTCATGGAAAGAGCAAGGAAGAATTTGGCTACATTGTTGGCATTGAGGGACGCACCTACCCGGTCGAAATTCAATATCTGCAAGAACCAACGAACAACTACGTTGAAGCAGCCGTGGACACGGTTGTAAAAATTCACAAACACGAGAATGAGGGCGACATTCTCGTTTTTCTCACCGGAAGAGAGGAAATAGATGATGCAATTGATAAGATTGGAGATCATATTGCCGAGATGTCCTCTTCTCAGCCAAAACTCATACCTCTTCCTCTCTACGCCGGTCTTCCTGCAGAAGACCAAAACCTCATCTTCACCAAGCCGCCGCCAGATACACGAAGAGTAATTTTCAGTACCAACATTGCGGAGGCCTCATTGACCATTGACGGCATTGTATTCGTGGTAGATACAGGCTATGTCAAACTCCGCGCATACAACGCGAACCTAGGAATTGAGAACCTCGCCGTCGTTCCCGTATCAAAGGCCAGCGCAACACAAAGGGCCGGACGTGCCGGACGAACTAGACCGGGCAAATGTTTTAGGTTGTATACAGAAGCCGTGTTTGAGGGATTGGAGGAGGCCACATTTCCTGAGCTCGCCCGTTCAAACCTCGCACCAGTTATTCTCCAACTTCTCAACCTTGGTATCACGAACGTGGTCCGTTTTGACTATCTCTCTCCACCACCATCAGCACTCATCACCCGTGCTCTGGACCTCCTCTATTCCCTCGGCGCCCTCGACACCCATGCCCGTCTGACAAAACCCCTCGGAACGCGGATGGCCGAGCTGCCCCTCGAGCCGATGCTTGCGCGCGCTGTTCTGAAAGCCGCAGAGCCGGAATTTGGATGCCTAAGCGAAATGCTCACAATAGCAGCTATGATGACACTCCAAGGAAACACGTTCGTATCGCATGATGGAGGCAAGAAACAGCTCGATGCAGCGAGACGACGCTTCGCAGTTGAGGAAGGTGACCATCTCACGCTATACAATGTGTATGAGGCTTTTGTGAAAGAAGGCATGGGCAATACGTCATGGTGTCATTCCAACAACCTGAACCACAAAGCACTTGTAAAGGCAGTCAGCGTACGCAAGCAACTGGCGGCTTATCTTGACCGTTTCGGAGTCAAGGAGAACGTGCTCTCATCGTCCGGCGTGCTAAGGGTAGGAGGAATACCAATGGCTGAGCGTGTGAGACGCTGTCTTACATCTGGCTTCTTCGCCCACGCAGCGAGAATGAAGGCAGATGGTAGTTTTACCACTATCGACGGCAAGACGACGCTCTGGGCGCACCCTTCGTCCGTATTCTTCACAAGAAAGGCGGATTGGGTCATCTACACTGAGATACAGTCTACGCGGGACAAGATTTACATCCGGGACCTGAGCAAGGTGAATATGGATTGGCTGACTGAATATGCGCCCGGGTATTACAAGGTCAAGAATGGAGGGAGATAATTATGTTAAACCAGTATATTTTGAAAGCAAAAAATCAAAGAAATAAATTGTAGGGGTATTATCAAAACCGAACCAAAAAGACCGACATGTAGTCCTACAAGTCTAAACGCCGCCGGTAACCCGATGTCATAACCTTCATGTCCCATAATGAAAGTAGCGCTCTATTTGCAAGCCTCTACAAACAATTCTCGCATTCCCTTTAGAAAACCCGCCAGGTCGCGAGTCTCGTTCAATCTCTCGACTACTCTTTCAGTCTCTTCACGCTCTACTTTAGGTCTGACTTCCAGCACCTTGTAGTCGCGCTCGCTAGTATCGAGTTCAAACCAGGCCTCGCGATCCCACTCTCTTTCATCCACATTGGTGTATACAAACTTGAGTCTGTCATCCTTGCCTAGCCCCTCAATCCTGAGCCCCAGATAACTCTCCCAGAAGTCCAGCTCCGGCTCGTTGTAGCGACTCTGGCCATCTAGGTATCGGCGGTGCTTAAGCTGAGCCTCGCGGCGGGCGGAAATGGTCTTTTGGAGTTCGGCGATTTGGGCGCGGAGATTGTCGCGGTGAGCGAGGCGCTCGTCGCGCTGCAGGGTGAGGGCGGAGATGGCTTCTTGCATCTCCGAGGTTTCCTGGGACTCCTTGGCAAGGGTTTGGCTGTGCTGAGCGGTTTTGAGTTCGAGGATTTCAATGTCGCGCTTCTTCATGCGTTGGTCCTCTGCGTAATTGTTAGCACTTGGGAATCGACTCAACACATTTGTTGTAGAAGTCGGGCATGCGCACCATGTAGTTCTGCCACGTTCATGCGGAACTGATTGCGCTCTTCCAGCACTCGCCGGCGGCCATTTTCGATAAATGCGTCAAATCGCGTTGTGAACTGGTTCATGCGACTGCGCAGATCGTCAAAGCCAAAGTTGATAGAGGGCAGCTGGTCAGCCATGGACGGCGCATCGTGCGAGGGGGCACGCATGGTCGTGCTGAGAGAGGGCTCAAAAGTCGTCATGGTGGAAGTCGGTGTTACAGATAATTGCTGAATATCTCTTGAAGACTCTCGTCGTATGCCAGTGTATGACGTTGTGGGATAGGATGTAGGAGGATGAATGTGTTTTGGACGGTTGCCGGGTAAACAAGACATCCGCGCTAAAGCCAAGAAAACATCTGCGGGGCGCATGCACGTGCCGACGTGCTCGACGGCGCTAGTACAACTTTTTGACCCGCCGCGGTTTTCTTCTACTGTCGCGTTCACTGCTCATTGCGTCTGCTGGATATCCGACCCCAACTCCACCCTCCGTTCACCGTGTCCAAAGCATGATTCTATACTGCCGAGCCGCGACTGCACGACAACCTTTACAACGGCCAAATGGCTGACAAACCGTTCGAAGATTTGAATTACGGCTACCCTGGCACTGCTCGCTATGATCTAGAGAACAGCGAGTGGCTGTTTGAAAGACAGTATACAACCAAGAATTTCAGGCAAATTCGGACCTTAGAAGGCCTGCGACTTGCAGATACTCTTGCGACAACACCAGTTCAGCTTGTTCATCCTCAGACGTCTGCGAATAAGACAAGCACGCGGGAAGAAGTCAGAAACCTAGTACAGAACATACCCGAATTTGCGGCTGCAGCTGCGCTACTTCCTGACTTAGGTCTTGTCTCTGCTGCAATCTCAAAAACAACTTCCGTTTACGACCCTCTCGTTGGTAGTTTACTGTCCTTCGGTTCCATTACTCTCGGAGACAGATATGAAGGCCCACGCCAGGTCGCTGCGCTACCTGTGGGAGAAGCTGGGAATATACTGCAGTTGGTGGTGTTGAACAAAGAAAGGCTGGGATGGGGTATGATCAGAAAAACATGGATAGATGGGTCAACTCTGAAGGAGGCTGAGAGAGGACACTGGAACGAGGACGCTGCACCTATACAGCAGATCTGCTTCTCTCTATCCGAGGACCGGAGCTCTCTGCTTGCCGTGCGACTTCCCGCACGCACAGTTTTCTTCCACCCCATCTGCTTCCGCCAAGCTCGCGCAAATAAATCTTCGCCTTTCTACGATCTCCCCGCATCGACGATCGATCCGCACCCTATCTTCAGCATAGACAAGGAAATCACTGGCGGATTTACCCATTGTCATGTAGCGTTCAATCCGAGCTTCCAGTCACAATTCGCTATTGTTGATCAGAGCCCAATGTGGAGCGTGTGGGAGATTGATCGTTCGCGCAAGAGTGAAGAATACACCCCTTCATGTCTTGTTCGCGGGCGGATCACCAGTTCGGAAACTGAGGATGTGAGTGGCGAAGATGGATGGGCGAGAGTGCTCTGGGTGGCCGACGTTAGTACTTTGCTGGTCTGCAACAGACGCCATTTGAGCATTGTCAGTATTAAGGGAGGGGAACTGAAGTACCTAGCCTGCCCGACATTCCTCAATCAGCGATCCGCAGAGTGGTTCTTGGACGTCAAGCTTCATCCAAAACATGCGAACCAAGCCTTCATTTTGACCTCTACCCACCTCATTCTGGTGCTAGTCAACAGTTCTGCTGAAGAAAATGCTTCGGCCGAAGATTCAGTGACGACAGTACTGGCATCATGGGCACACTTTCGGGATGCAGAAGATTTTACTCTTCAGATGACTGTACAAATGGCGTCAGAAGATGGTAAGTTATAAACTGATCAGTTCATGATAAGGCTTGCTAACATGAAAAGAATCGTGCCTCGTGCTTTATTCGCAACTGAACAATCTCATTCAGGTGTACACCTTTGCGGAGCACCCTGCAGGCGGTTCCTCTATAGTGGCGTGTTCTGATCCTGGTATACTGGATTTGGCCATCGACGGGTCAGGCCGGATTGCCAATTTATACATGGAGCCTATGCAACAGGGGGGTATCAGAATGGACACAGATTTCTTTCGGTTGTTTGTGGTACTGTCTACCTCCAGTATCCATGAGCTCGTCATTTATACTGCGAAGTCGTCGACTCAAGAATCGTTCACTACCAATGAGGTCGTCGAAGACTTCACACGCAGTATGATAAGACGCCCTCGAGTCGGCATTTCCAAGACGGAAGTGGTGAATAAGGAGGACGAGATAATAGTTACAGATGGTCTAGATGTTCTAGACTCACCCAGCTCCAAGACTACATCAAGGATTTTGAAACCAGAGCAGGTTTTGGAGGACGCTCCCGTGCAGACCACACGTAACAACGAACTCCTATACGAAGCCCTTCAGTACGCAGAAATTCCTGGAAGCAACGTACAAGGTTCTTTGGATATCACAGCGGTTCTGGGCGAGGTGAAGCAAATGCTCGCCGACGATCCTGACTCTGTGCCGTTGCCAATCGGTACGTTGATGGAGTACGCCAATACAAAGCTCCAAATTCCGGATGTGGACGATGCATCTTCGAATCTCCAAGATTTATTAGCCGAAAACGAAGAAAACGCCCTATTTCTTGAACGAATCGCGTCGGCGCAGACACTTGGCTTGGCTGAGGAGGACAACAATCCTACCATCTCAGATATTTATGATACCCTGTTGGAAACTTGGGTCGCACCTCTGCCACCTACGGTACCCAGCCGTGTCCGACAATCCAAAGAGCAGCTTGCCCGGGGTATCGCCGCTCAAGTCATGTTCTCCAGCCTGCGTGTACGAGAGCATGAGCTAGATGCTGCGACCACTGGCTCACATCTGGGCCCAAGCCAGGATCGGGGTATTGCATTACCCATTTTGCCTTCGCGACCGAGGAACGGCGATTTCCATTTTCCATCGCAATTCTCCATCTCTCAACAACTTCCAACACCTCCACAGTCTTCTGTGCCTACATCGTCTTTGCCAGGCTCATCACCGCCTGTCTTGCCTTTCACGCGGAGTGTTCCACAAGATCCTTTGGCGCGACTAAGCAAGCATCTGCGCAACAGAAACCCTTCCAAGGAGCCAGTGGGTATTGGTGCAAATGCATCTCGGATTCTCAGACAATGGCAAGTTGGAGATGATCCAAACAGTTACGATTGGACTGCCATCGAGCGAGACCTTCAGCCCGAGGACATGGATGAGGAAAGCCAAAGGCAACGCGAGAAAGAGCGTAAAGCCAAGGAGCGCAGGGAAAGACGTCAGCAACGCGAAGATGAGTTGGCAAGAGTGAAGGCTACAAGCCAGCCTCTAATGTTTCCAAGAAGCTCTCCCGGGCCCATGTTGAGTGGCATGGTCAACAGCAGTCAAATACCGATACAGAGTCAGATACTAAGTCAAGAGCCAATCTCCAGCTCAGCATTCATAGCACCGCAGAGTCAAATTGAGCCAGGCAAGTTTGGAGGAAGGTTGGATAAGAACAAAAAGAAGAAGAAGAAGAGACTGGGTGGCTTTTGAGTTGGATTTGCGCCGAGCATCTTTTGTATTCTGGTGCCGTAGCACGTAACTAGACTATCAGACCAAAATCACTAGCAATGTGTTACCTATACCACTGATCTATTCCAAGAATCTATTCATTTAGTACTACACTCTTCCTAAACTAGCTGTTGTATAACCCTAGGATGTAGTTGGTATACATATATCAGTAGCAAGGTAGGCATACTACTGTCATTTTGTGATTACTCACTGTCACGATTTAAGCAACCCTGAATGACTTGCTCAATAATCTAAAGAATGCCTAACCGGATACCTATCAGCTGGGATGCAACTGGTTGGTAGTGTTTTTGCGGTATAGTAATCTCTTGAAACTGCATAAAACAGGGTTGCTGTATGAAGAGGGAGGCGAAAGGGTGATAGGAAGTTGACTCGGATTATGAGAACGAGTCAAGCAACGGCCTATAGGAATAGAAGGCACGGCATGTTAATACTAGTCATACGCTTTAAGGCTTCTACATGTGTAGTATCACGGCAAAAGGAGCTGTTTGATACAAATGTTCAACGATTCTAAGTCATCGATCTATTGCAGCTTAGCTGGTTGAGCTTGTAAGCCCTAGAGCAAGATACCATGGTCATATCCGATAGTATCCGATGTTCCGCTAGCCTACAAGAAGATGATGTGTGAATTTGATGATGTCATTGGATGCGGAAGGAAGGAAAGATGCTCCTCCTTTTCGTTCGACCGAGAAAGTGGGGTTGGAGGGGTAGCTTCCGCATCCATGCATTCAAGCTTATGCTCCGGCTACACTAATAAGTCCTTCTTCCACTTCTTCGATACTTCGCTACAATCTTGATCCAATCTAATACACCATTGTTGCATCTTAGCCGTTTTCAGAACCAAAATATCGTTATCCAATTTCTACTCATTCCAAGATGTCAGGCTTTCCATCTCTCCAACCAGCCTTTACGGTCCGCGTCGAAATCGACGCGCCGATGCAGGTCGGTGGCCAGTCAGGGCCCCAATTGGCCATTGTTCCCATGACAAGTGGCACCGTGAAGAGTGAAGAGGGTTTCGAGCCTAAACTCGACGGAGTGCTACATGGCGTGGGATACGACTACATTCACAACGATGCCGATAATGCAAACATGAGACTGGATGTGAGGAGTCAGGTCAAGTGCGTCTTGTAATATCACTTCTCAAAAAGAGGCAGTAGTTAACAAATCATGCGCAGGAATCATGATGGCACCGTTCTTGCAATGTACTACAAGGGAACCGTCAAGCTTACTCCAGGCGTTGGTGCTGTCTTGACTGGCGCTCCAGATGCAAAGACCACAGAGTATGGCGATTCATTTGTCAATTTTTCATTCGAGACCGGCAACCCCAAATATGCTGAGCTGCAAAACGGAACATATGTTGCTGCTGGCCATTTTGTCAAAGAGGCAGGGAACCCCGGAACTATCGTAGAGTACAAGGTTAGCAAGGTTGTGTATAAGGCGTGAAGCATCAAGCGCTGCTAAAGGACTTTAACTCTGCTCCTCAGAATAACGAATAGAAAACTGCAGAAGTGCTATATCATTGCTTACGCCAAATTACATCTAGTGTAGTATACGTTAGTTACCGTATCCACCTTGGCACTGTTTTCAGTGTTGTCACTGCCGCTTTGTTTGTTGTTTGCTCGCTCCTTCCCCACTTTGGACTGGCACGCAAACACTCTTTACCTTCAGCTCAAACTGATATAATTTGACTTGATTCCGGAAATTGCTCGGAAGCATCTGACTTGAGCCTCTACACAAAAGCCTTTTGCAGCTATTTTGAACTACCAAAATCGAGACCTGCCACTTACAGTACAGGTGAGTATACATGCATCGTCAGCCGCAGCTTGCTTGGATTAGTAGATGCTAACAAAAAGACCCACCAAGGATCTAGAATTCATATCCAATGAGTTCAGCTTTACCGCACAACAAGAAGCCTCGCAAGCAGTATGTCTTGGGTGACTTTGTCAAATATGCCACTGGCATATTTGCGGCTCACTTCGTCGCCATCTCCGACATGGGTATCTACGAGTTCGCAGAGAAGCAATACACAGACGAAAAGCAACAATTACAAACTTGTCATATGGTCCTTGTGGGACACTATGCTCGCAAGAGTGGTGGTCCTCCAGTCTGGGCACAAGCGACAGGTGACGGTATACGGTATCATAAAGGTACCGGTTTTTTAGTGGAGCCGCTCATTTTGGACATTCATTGCGGAAAAGTCTACTACGAACCTCCATTCAGCTACATTGGCGGTACGATCAAGAATAGTGATACTCCACGCGGTATGACGCAGGAACGAAAATTTCAGCGAGCAGTGGTTGAATCTGCCATTCACTTCGTCTTCCTCTTGAGCGGGAGATTGAACCAAACCTTAGATATCACAAACCCGGATTTGCTTGGTCATTTCAAGATTGCTCTCGTAAATCTTTTACAGAATCGGAAGGCTCACGAAGCGGCTGACCGTACTCCAACCAAAAGATCCCCAACACGCGTTGAAGAGACAGCCATCACTAAGAACGAAGCGCGTCCTTTCAAAGTTAGTGAGACGAATTATAGGAATCTTACATTTCAAATCATACGAAGGCCTCTGCCACCTATTATTGCGGCTTCACTAAACCGTAGAGTTATCGATTTAACGCGCGATGTTCCCGGATCTTCGCCTCAAGGTAGGCGAATTGAAGCGTGCTTCTGATTGACTAGTAGCTGACATTATGATGTAGCATTCAATGAGCGTATACTTCTCGAGCAACAAGTGCGAGATCTCAAAGCGAAACTCGAAGAAGAAAAGACAAAGACAAATGCACTTGAAGCGAGGCTAGTTCGAGAGAAAGCCAGACGGCAGAGATTACGAGATCAGCGCGGAAGATGGACTACAGAGACAAGCCTTGAAGGCGAAGGTTTCTGCAAAAAGACAGCGATTAGCACAGTGCGAAGCGACCGCACTGGAGCATCGGCTTCAAATTGCAGTTATGAAGGAAGAGCTTGCGCGTGAGAAGGAAGAGCTTGCGCGTGAGAAGGAAGAGCTTGGGTGTGAGAAGGAAGAGCTTGGGTGTGAGAAGAAAGCGAAGATGTTCTGGGAGCACAAGCACAACAGCTTGCCAAGAATTCTGCTTGACCGTAGCCGACTTTCGATTGCTTCAGGGTCTCCAAATGATCAGGAGTCAAGTGTGGCGTTGGTCAGAACATCAGATGCAGGAGTACGCAGTGGCCCATTCGGTTCCGGCCGTTCTCGACCGTTGTGAATACAACTTTTCAGGCTCCGAGGAACTGACAGCTATGTAATTACATTGTACATGTGTGCAGTAGCATTGTATGTCCAAGCTAGGAGTTTGCATATACACAGATGGGTAGTGATGTACTAGCAGGATGCCTTGTCTAAACAGTAGTATAACATCACATGGGCATGAATCTCTCCCAGATTGAAATGCACATAGGGAACCGAACCGCCTCTTATATCAGAAATGATACGTCAAAAGAGTCCAAGCTACACATGCACACGTTCGCCTACTAAACTAACGGCTACCGAACCCGAGCCACACACACACACACACACACTCACCCTCCCCCTCTCTCTTACAACCCATCTCCTCGGCCTCTCTAGTCTCTCTTTTCTTTTTTTCCGCCCAAGTCCCTAACATTCTCGTTTCGAAAAGATCCGCGCTGAACCCAAACACACGTCACTTTTTCCGAGATTTCCAAGTTTAGTCGCAAATGTGGCTTTCCCACATCCACTCACACACACACATACCCACACACCGTTCGGCCAAGTTCGCGCTTCTTCTTTCGTTTTTTTGCTTTTTTTTCTTATGCTTAGGCTACAACAAGCCCTGAACTATACGCAGGTGTGATAGATCGTCGCTTACGGCGTGTATCCGTACAACTTATGCAGGTGTGTTCCAAAACGTCAGCCACCATCGAGAGAGAGAGAGAGAGAGAGGAGCCAGATGCGAGATGGAGTGGCGGGAACGCCGCCCATCTTGCCGCATTGCGATGCTGATTGGGGAAGCTATGGTTGGAATGACGCATAAAATGTGAGCTAGTATTGTGGAAGTGGGTGGGTGAGAAAACAGCGAACGCCATGGTGCCTGTACTTATGCTTAGGTTGTACTACTTTTACATGGAAACGTTTGCTTTTCAGGTACCCACGCATGCGAGAAAAAAAAAAGAAAGGCACTTAGTCAGGACATCGGTGCCCTTTCCCGACGCTTTGAGAATCTCCCCAATCGTCGTCTATCAGCAAAACATCCCGAGTTTAACATATCTGTTTGCTCATTTTTTGCAAATCATACGAGATGGGGGGATGTCATTATCGAGATTGAGAATACATCAATCAGTCAATCAATCCCGCGCGCACCAACCAACCCCCACACCCCCTGAACCGGTGGCTTCCGACGTCGTGAGTACCTCAACGTTTTCTGGTACCCCTTACCCGCCTGCCAGGCGGCCGACCCCTCCCGCTCCCATTCGTGTCCGTGAGGAGAGGTTTTAGCAGCGGCCGTTAGTCGGGCGGCGGCTCTCTGCTAGCTACTATTTTAGTGTGGGAGGAAATGGTCTCATAAACTTTGTTTTTTCTTGGGGACCGCAGCGCTACTAGTCGCGGACACAAGCGGGGGGTGAGCAAAAGCAAATCAGGGCTGCACAAGGGGGCTTATTAACCAAACTTGGTAGCGATTGCAGTAGTCGTGGGCCTGATGATCTCTAAGCCTTTGAGTTGCGTATGCATTATCGATGCATTGGTGAGACCGTGTTGGAGAAGGCGATGAGTATGGAGGGCTGATTGGTAGATTGGGACTATCGTGCTTGACGCGTGGGTAACCAATTAGAGTGCTTGCGTCCATCTCCGTGGAGAACGGGAGAAACAGCACAGGTGTGACTAGATACGATTGCAGCAAATCGAGGATCGTATACACGCTGTACGACGTAATGCTGATACATCAGTGTGCATCAATGCCAAGTGGAATGGTTGAGGCCGGGGTATTCTTAGTCGTATTATACATTGTTGCAGCCAGGGGCTGATGGGCGAATTAAGACTCAAACCCGAAACTTTATAATTATAAGTGCGATGAAAGTAGTATAAGTCGTACAGATGGTGAGACAGCCTCGTCGTCATTCAAGGTCGTAATGCGCACTATGCAGGTGTAGATATGCACAAGCAACAAAAGAAAAAGGGTCGCTAAATCGAATCGTGCGGGAGAAGAATGCCAATGACGCCAGTGGGCGTAAAGTGGATGTAGTATTGATGGTCGCAATCCAGAGTATGTGTTGTCGAGTATGTCGGGGGCGCAGTGACTTGTTGCGAGCGATCGTCGAAAAAGATAAACGCAACTTCCACATGTCTGATCGAACGATGCTGAACAAGCATAGGGACCAATAGGATCACATGATACCCCTCAATCCGCGAAAGCCTCCAGTTTTGGCAGAAGAAGAAGAAGGCTTTCTCTGATCCTTGTCTTTGACCTTCTTCCCAATGTTCTGGGCGCCTCCTGCTTCTGAATCAGCTTGCTGTAGTGTTAAAAGAGGGTACAAATGACTAACCTCGACCATATACCCGAACCTCCGATTTGGCTTCGACCTTGTCTTTCTTATCCCTGCCTGAACTACCGTCTGTGTCGACAGAGAAGCTACTCTTCCCGCTCGAATGAGGCTGTTGAGATTGCAACTGACCCCCGGGAGATGCATCTTGATTGCCAGCATAGTCCGGCCCATAGCCACCGCCGAAGCCGGGATAGGGCGATGGGGCTGTTTGGGAGGGCTGCGTCGTCCCAAAATTCGTAGATCCAAACCTAGCAGAATAATCAGGCATGGTGCCTGACACGGGACTTTGTGCCGACTCTGGAGAGAGATATTGAGGATAGTGTTCCTGTTCTTCGCTAGGCGCTCGGTCTGTTGAAAGAGGAGGCAAGTACCTTGAGTTGTAACTGTTTGCGTGTCGTACACTTGAATTTCGACTCATCTGTGATACCCCAAAGTCAATTTGACCAGATTTGTCTCGAGGGTACAGCTGTCCAATTGCAGCTTGCTGCTCACCCTCGAGTTCGTGATATTTCATCTGCAACTCTGTGTATTGCTCCAGGAGGCGGTAGTGGGTCTTTTTCAGTTGCCGGAGCTTGGCATCGCTCGCCGCCAGCGCCGAGTCGAGCATTTGTTGGACAGACGGGGGAAGCTGTCCTGGCTTTCCGGCGCTCTTGTCAGTCGTCTGTAGCCGTGCCTCCAAATCCATAATGCGGCGTTCGTAGGCCTTTATTGAGCGTTCGTGCTCTTGCTCGCGGCTATTCAGCCGCATGTTTGCGATTTCCAGGTCATTTCGCAAGTCGTTCCGCTCTTGCATGAAGATATGCAGCTCTTTCCTCTGGTCTTCAAAGGCAGCAATCTTCTCTTCTGCCATTTCCAATTCACGTCGAATATCGCTGTAGTCTTCAAGCTCGTATTCCAGCGCCTTTGTTCGTTGCTGGGCTTTGAGCTGCTCTGCCTCGGCTCTCTCCACGATCTTCTTCAGCTGCTCACAATCTGATTGCGTCTTTTGTAGCTCGTGCCGCAGACCACCCTCGTCATTGTGCCAGTTCTTTTCACTTTCCTTGTATGATCGCACCTTTGCATTGAGCTCGCCTTCCCATTTCTTTGACTGGCTTCTGCTCGTTAGTGTCTCTTTCTTTAGCTGAGCATATAGCTCATTTGCCTTGGCAAGCCGGGCCTTCAAAGTTTTGTTAGTGTTGATCAGATTTTGAGTCTCAGCCTCTGCAGTGGCTTCTTTGATGTGCTTGCGTTGGAGCTGACCAATATGCACAAGATGTTGCAACTTGAGATAGCGCTCAAAGTTGAGGTCATTGCGAAGCAGCATGATCTCTCTTTGCAGAGAGGCCATGGTGTGATTCTGAAACTCGTTCTGACTGAGGTTGTTTTGCCCGGATACTGACTGTATGAAACTATCCAGGTTGGACTGTTCAGCTACCAAGCGATGAGCGGCAGCTGTAGACAGGCTGTGCAAGTCGGTTTTCGGGGCTTCTCTCGCAGGTGGCAGCGTGGGGGAATCCGTCATGTCGCGGCCTTTTAGCAGGGGAGATGCCATGGATTTGATAGATACTGCTGACTTGACTGACTTGCACCGTGGTGGAATTTCAAAGTTATCAGGGATGTCTGGAATGTCGCCCGGAGGGATGTTCATTGTCGACTGTGTGTTGCGTCTGCTCTCGTCTGAGCCGTGAACTGTTGCTCCGTCTTGATCATCTAGAGTGAAGTGTGAAGGGATATCTGGCACGGGTGGTAATGCTGCGCTGGGTGGCGGACCAGGGTCTTTCAACGTTGACGATACGGCCACACACAAACCCATGCACTCGATAACAACATCTGCAGGATCGCTCTTCAACCATTTGTTTTCGCTAAGCTCATCTTCGGCCGTCGTGGTAAACATGTTGGGGTGCAACAAATGGACTTGGCGATAGGGTTCGGTGCGGGTGTGAATGAGATCTTGGTCCAAGTCGAAGTCGTGCGCGCCGGGGAAGTTGAGCGACTTGAGGTACTTCCTGGGCTTTCGAATAAAGCTCATGAAGTTGAGTGGGAATAAACCATAGAGGAATGTGAAGTAATGCATAAGCGTGGGCGGCGGCGATTCCGGATAATCGACAGATGGCTGCAGTTGCTCCCAAACTTGCTCCGAATCGTCGTGCTCCTCCTCGTCGTCTTCGCTGTCGTCATAGTAAGCATCCAAGTCAGCTGCCTTGTCATTTTCGCTACTCCCTAGCTTGTCCCAACACAATATCCTACAGTAAACAAGGAACAGCTTGACTAGGTGGTGATCCGAAGTCAAGGCTCCGCAGATATGGGGCAAGAACATGATGAGAACGACAAGGGCAAGCTCTACGACAGTGGATGAGTTGTCGGCAAGCAGGCATTTTTCCAGGTGCTGGATGAGCGGAGTTTCGAGAACCAGATGTAGGTGGGGTGGTTGAAGGCGGACGAAAGCGCTGAGGAGATTGAGAGCCTGGATACGGTGTTGCTTGTGCACAAAGAGTTCGTCAAGTCTGAGGAGAAAGATCTACACAAGTCAGCGTGAATTGTGCCTCCAGGCGTATTATGCCTACCTTTGGCATCTTGCGCCCAAAAGCCACTAGTATATTTTCCAACTCATGCGCGACGAAGCCGTTTTCCGGCGAGACAGGCTCGTCGGGCGAAGAGGGAACCGCGGACCTCGCTAGGTAAATGTCGAGTATTCTGGTGATAAAGAGATCAGACAGGCGCGCCTGCTCTCCGTCCTTGTCCGCTTCAGGATCGTACACCAATATGCTCTGAATAAAGGCTTTTGCATCTTCCATCTCAGTCTTCTTGTAGCCCACACCGTCGATGATGGGCTTGAAAACTGAATTCCACCAGGCGGTCAAGCGCGCCTCTCCGGTGATTGCAGGCCGCAAGATTCGCAAAGCGGAGAGGAAGGCGCCGCGCTTGTCAGGATTGTTTGCGACATGGCGGGTGTAGAGGGCATGGAGGTCTTCATGAAAGCGGTGGGAGTCATGGTCATCGATGTCATGGTAGCGCTCGAGGAAGGCGTCGATGGTTGCGCAAAGCTCGTCGGGCAGCGGATAGGGAACGACATCGGCAGAAAAAGTAGTATTGAGAGCCTTGAGGCCCTCGCGCATGGATCTTCAAGAACAGGTTAGCACTGACATGGCCAAGAGCGTATGGCTTTTGGGAATTTTTTAACGCTTACCCGGACATGCTGAATTGTATGCCCGCCTATTGATGCTACTGAGGCGCTGTGGCCGGCATCAGAGGGCGACGGGCGGGTCTATGAGTGTTTGACGACGGGATCCAAGGTTTAGGCGACAGGGAGACGTCACGGGCATATCACTGCTTATGTAGGTCGAGTCCGGGGAGGCTAGGTGGATGTTTCGAAGGCGAGCATGCGTGGGGTGTAAGTGGTGGAGGATAGTGAGGAACGGGCGCACGACACAGAACAAAGTTCGAGGATGTAAGTACATGAATAGTAGGCGGGCAGAGACATGACATGGCCCGCTTTCCAGAAGTCTGGGGGTGCTTTTGGGGGCGTGCATGGGCTCGCTGATGTGCAGACGGCATTAGTGGAGGTGGCAGCATGCATGCCAAAAGCAACTCCAGCGTTCAATGCCGGCCCGCAAGCGTGTTGGTGCTGGTACTTACTGGTGGCCATGGCCCCGTTCGGTCAAGGATGCGGCGATGCTCTGGTCCCCCTCCCTCCGCCCGGGGCACCGTAACCGCCTAGCTGCGGCAGAAGCAACTTTCCTGTGCACGTGCATAACCACCCCAACTGCGTCACGGCACGTGACCAGCCGTTGCAGCGTCGCTTCCTGCCTTGCCCTCACGCCACCCGTCTGCCATCTGCCGGCCAGGCCTCCCAAATTTCTCTTCATCCTTCTCCTATTCACCTGCCCAGACTTGTCCTCCCCACCAGCCATGTCGCTATCTCTGGGCCGGTGTCTTGGTGTCTTGCCCACCTGCTCCAGTCGAGTATAGCACCGCTGGGCTATTACCACCCTACTACCCTTGCCTCCATTACTTACCTTCGATCATGACCAGGGTCCCTTCCGTCCCACATTTGATAAGCATTGTGTGGGATTCCCATCAGCAGAGCAAGCGGGTGCATTCTCCGGCATGCCGTGAATGCTTCGTCTAATACGCCGCCATGCCTCCCACACTATCCCCAATTACCGATACCGACAGAACGGTAACCTTTGGCCCCGGTCGCGTGCCTGCATTCTGCATCTTAGTCCGCTGCTTAACGTCAAGCTCTTATCACGCCCTGTATACAGCTACTGTCCTCAATCGCCGCTCTGCTGCCAGAAGCATAACCCCACCAAGGAATGACATCCCCAACGAATGTAGCTTCGAAGGAAGCTTCCTGGAAGCCAATGCAATATGCAACCACGTATGCTGAGCGGGAAAACGCCAAAATAGGCTTCTCGTTAATACATGTGCAATCTAAAATATACCCTGGCCCGTTTCATTTCTTGGGTTTCTCCATCTTTCAAATCTCAACAAAGTGGATACCTGCTCACGTCAACATCCCTACGTGTAGCGACGTTCGGACAGGCCCGTACCTACAAGCACACAGCGCTTGCTCGATCCACGTGTTTCGGTCAAGAGTGAAAAACTCTATGCAAATACAGCTAGAGTCAATCGGGTTCACTGCGTCCAATCGTCTATTGGTGTGGCCGTCTATTGTGCCTTGGTAGAATTCTCGGAATTGAATGGCGCCTGTGCTCTTTCGCAATAGGCTGACGCACAAAAAGGCAACTCCACCCATAAGCCAATAGGCAAGCACTGCAACCAAACCTCCTTTCTGGATACCATTAGTACCTCTTGGGGACCGAAATAGATGGACAAAGATCTAATTACGTCCAACATTCGGTCCAAATCACAGCTTGGATTACTACAAAGGGCATTGTAGCCTTGATAAACCATCTAGAACTCCACCGAAGTGGGGAATCTTTTGATTAGGTACTTGTAGTATCTAGGTAGTGCGTGGTGTTAGCTTAATTGCGCAATTGCAGTGTTGTGGAAGGGGCAGTTTTGATTCAGCTATTTCAGTCCCCCGAGAGGTACACCTGCTATGACAAAAAGTCTCCAAAGGCCTTCACAATTGTCTTTTCTCGGGTGCTCCGGATGTCGCTGCAAGATATTTGTGGACCAAATCGTCATATATGGGGTTGGCACGACCTTAACACGAGGAACATGGCTTCTGCGGTGGTCGCCTCAAATAAGTCGTATCTTGGTCGCCGACCTCGTATGATGCTCCACTGAATTTCACTACACTCGTCCAGTTCCACTTGTACGTGCTCATCTTGAGATCTGGGCTGGCTTTCTTATGAAAAACTTGAGTCGATGGCTCCAGATATCACATGCTCAGGTTTCGGACTGTTATCAAGGTGGTGCTCAGGCAAGGAAATGACGAAGACCATGGATAAAGACCACAGTTGACATGGCGCTTGCTAGGCGCTAGGTATATCACGGCTGGTGGAAAACTTTTTCTATGAACTTCACGGCCCGTCGCGCACTACGCCACACAGCTTTAATTCTTAGAGCAATGCTTAGCGGAATCTTCAACGACAATCATACCCACATAGCAGCGCTAACACGACTTGTACACCACAAAAATGTATTTTACCGCGGCGTTGCCGCTTGATTGCGCGCCTGAGGTCATCATAAAGATGGACCTACTTATCGAGCATCGAAATATACGGGGCAAAGAGTCAAATGTACCAATCATGATGTGGAACAAGAAAGACTATAACCCAACAGTGTCCCTCTTCGTGCACACATATGCACCCGAGAGTATTGATTGTTCTTAGGCCGTCATTGAAGGGCCAGTCAGAAGATGTCGACTTGTATAGCTGGCTGCCTAAGGCAGACCAGTGTTTGACGCCTGCAAGAATGGTACAAGGAGAGCATATATAAGAGATTGGAAACGCACTCGGGATAACCATAAATTCACCGCTCTAGCATTTGCAACACCCAAGTGCTACCAAGATGCGCTTTATTTTTACCATGTCCGTTGGCCTTTTAGCTAGCGTTGGACTGTGCAGAGTGGCGCCACGCAAATCTGTTGAAAGGCCCATGTGAGTATTTTCCAAGTCTCGTCAGTAGTGTTGACTGATCTTATATCAACAGTGTCGCACACTACATGGTCGGCGGTGTTCAAGAGAAAGATGTTATCCAGGATATCAAGGATGCGAAAAGCATTGGTCTTGACGGCTTCGCGCTGAACTATGGTATGAATTGTTGGCATCATTCTTCTCGTTGGCATCTCTAACTGAATCAAGACCAGTTTGAATGGTGGTCTAATGACACTATCAACTTCATGTTCAACCATGCAGACGAATTGGGCGACTTCAGTCTCTTCTTTTCATTTGATCACGGCAAAGGAATCTTGAAAGACCCTCTTGAATACGCTACCTATTTCACCACATACAGCGGCCGTCCCTCGTACCTCAAGATGAAGGATCGAAACGGCGATGCTCGGAAGCCTGTCCTGTCCACTTTCGGTGGCGAGAATATCAGCAACGACAGATGGAACCAGTTCAAAAGGACAGTAGGCGATGTACTGATCATACCCGGCTTCTCTGAGGTCTACAACCCTACTACCAACTTCTTCCAGAGTCGCAGTGCTCTTGACGGTGTGTTCAACTGGAACTCCTGGCCCACCGTTCAAGAGGGCAGGGTTGCCGTATCAGCAGCAGTAGACCGTACCTTCCAGACCGCCGCAAAGAACGCGAACAAGTACTTCATGATGGGCATTTCTCCTCTCCAATTCAAACACGCCAGCTATGGTAACTGGTACCGCCGCGGCGAAGACAATCTCGAGAACCGCATCGGCCAGATTCTAAACGTCCAGCCCGACATGGTGCAGCTGCAGACGTGGAACGACGGCGGAGAAAGCCACTACATGGGCCACCTCCACCCAGAACCGCTGGACAACCGAACAAAAGCTCTGACTGACGGCTATGACCACACTGGCTACTGGCAGATTCTTCCCTCCTTCATCAACGCGTGGAGGAGGGGCGACACGTCGACTGCCAACATGTACCCTACCAATGGCAAACCCGTCCAAGGCACGTTCTGGCACCACACCCTGACCATTGGCGGTTCGTGCTACGCCGACGACACCGCCAAGCCAGACAGCATCGTGACTGGCGGTGAAGACGCGGTATCCGGTGTTCTCCTCGTAGCACAAAACAAGCAGGGTCTCAAAGCTGAGGTTAAAGTCGGCAATGTTCGATTGGGCAACGTCGTTTCCCTCTCGCCGGGATTCAACAAGTTTAAGATTACTGGACTGGAGAAGCTGGTTCCTGGGAAGGTGCAGGTTGAGGTGTGGGATGGAAGTATGATGGTTGGGGGCGGGTATGGTAGTATTGAAGTTACAGAGGACAAGCCGCTTTGTAACTACAACTTTGAGGTTGTTGGTCTGCCTTCTTAGGTCGTTAGAAGATTAGTATCAGCACAGGGTTTGGGAAAAGCTCGGCACTCGATAGTAATGGTACGATGAATTCAGTTGGATCTTCTATTGTTCTTTTTGTGCCTATCAACTTGATGATTTCTCCTTCCCCTACACAGATACTTTTACATTTCTTTCATCCCCCCCCTTCTTCACCCATCACACTACGTCCTCTCACCCAACCCCTCCTTTCCCCCCTTCACCTGCTCCCCACCCCCAATCCCCGTCGTCCTCTCCGGCTGCGCCTGAAAGTCGGGCTGTTTCGCCGGATGCTCATCCCCTTGCTTGCCCTCATCGCGCGAAGCACTCGACTGCTGATCTGTATGCTGACTATCCGACCGCACTTTGGCATTTGGAGCTGCACTCGAGTTGGGATGCGGGTCCGGGATGTTGGAGGCGGGGTTGGAAGTGTCCATTAGTTTTTTGTTGGGACAAGACGTGGAGAAGGCTTTTGCAAGAGGGAAGGTAGCACGTGAGGTCTGGAAGAGCCCGTGTTGGAGGCGCGTGGATTGGCGTAGTGTGCGGAGCGTGGTTTGCAGGGACATGGCTGGTAGTGATGTTGGGTCGTTTTCCAAAGTCTAATGCGGTGTGGGCTATTGGGTAGATGCTTGTTGAGAGATGAGGATGTTCGTTGTTTTGTAGCAAGGAGAACTCTCTTCAAGTATTGATAGGCTATGGATTTGCATGAGCGAGTAGTTACGTTTGTGTAGCTCTTCTTGACAATGTCTCTCTGACATCATTCTGACCGCGTCAATTCACTGCCGAGGCGTTTTTCTCTACAATCTCCCGACATAGGCCGTCGATCACTCTGAGCATTTGGTGTTCTGGATTTACAGCCCTGCGAACCACACACATAGTCTACAAGACCAGCTGGTATGATGTGTGTGTATGCGAGCGAGTGTGGCTGCTGTAAGCATAAGCTTTAGGCGGTCGTAGCTGCAGCAAACAGCAACATGCATTAGCGGCCTGGTTTCCATACCGAGTCTATCCCCCATGCGGTTACCGTGCGCCTATCCTGCCCGTATTCTCTGCTCTTGCGTCTTTTCGCGCAGGCCATGTCAGCCCAAGCCAGCACAAAGCCCGAAAGGGCATCTCGAGCAGTCACAGAATACAGCCAAGTCACTCTCATTTGCACACACAACCTTGCTCCATTTTTTTTCCCTTTTCTTCTTTCTCCTCTTCTTGATTCCTCAAATTGCCTGATCCGTTTTTTTCGTTAGCGGGCCCTCCACCAAAATCAATCATGCCCGAGTTTGTGCTCTTTGGTGATTCGCTCACTGAGTGGGGCTTTAGCGAGACTACTCAGGGCTTCGGCCGTTTTCTTCAGCAAAAGTACCAGTACAAGGTGGGGATCGTGAATGAAGGTAGGCTCAGGTGCGAATTCTAGCAACCATCGTCGATCAAGGTATTGCGCCATGGGGTTTGTTGGCGTATACCTGACGTCCAGCCCGCATCAAGAGTCTTGTATCCTCTCCTAATTATATTATATACTGACCATGTCGCAACAGGTAGAGCAGGGTATGCCCATCCACAACATGCCAGGAATTTCTTCACAGTACTCCGAGCATTAATCCATCACACAGCTACACAAGCTCCGACCTGCAAGATGACTTTGCCCGCATAATACGCAGCACAACAGCTCCAGGCGCAACGCAGACTCTCCTCTTTACCATCTTCCTCGGCGCAAACGACGCCTGTATCGGCTTGCAAGGCGCCGAGTATGTACCATGGCCCGTCTTCTCTGAGAATATCCGCGGCTTCCTCGACACTATCCTCACAGAGCAGGCCATGGACAATACCAAAATCGTTCTCATCACGCCACCGCCAATTAACAGTCAGGTTGAGGCTATCAGCAAAAACATGTCCAAGGCGGAGGTCGAGCAGGAAAATTGCAAGAGGAAGCAAATGCTCGGGTATAGGACGTACATGAACAAGAAGCGGTACGCCGAGGGAGTGATGAAGATTGCAAAAGAGTACGAGGAGACGCAGAGGGTGGTGGGGTTGAACTTTTGGCAGGACATTGTGGATGCGCTGGCAAAGGAGGAGGGATGGGAGTACAACGCCGAATTGCCGCCGGGCTGCGGCTTACTTGGCTCAAAGTCGTTTCCAAAGGGATGGTTTACCGATGGGTTGCATTTGGATGTCAAGGGCTACGCGGTATTGAACAAGGGGCTGTTCAACCTTGTGATTGAAAAATGGCCCGAATTGGCACCTGAGAAGCTATAGACAAGCACTGGATTCTTGGTGTTCTCTCTTTTTTCTCTCTCTCTTTTCATTCAACTATTTGGTGGCCTTTCTATCCATGATCAACCTCTGTTCAATGTGTTTCCTGAGCCCTTGGGATTCGCCTCTACATATTCGTCCCATGCACGTTGCTTCATCGTCTCAGCATCCGCTGCATCAAGATCATCCTCATTCGGCTCTGGTTGGATTCCAGACTGTGGACCTCCACCCTCGATTATGCCACCCCTCTTCCTCTCTTCCTCTAGATACTCGTCAATCGTCATGGTTGGTAGGTTGTGATCGGGGCGGAAGACGCCCTTCTTCAGGGTTTGGCGGCTATCCAGTAGCGTAAACGGCCGCATGGGTTTACCATCGCTACTCAAGATGGGCCCAGAGTACCTCAACCCAGCATACTGACCATCTAGGCGTTCGGAATAACCGTCTTTGCCTCTGCTGTCTTGCCGGGCATCAGGTGCTTGCTGATCCTGGCCTGGCGGTGGCGCAGGTGGCGCTAGCGAGATAATGTGAAGTTCCTGCGCCATTGACTCGAGTGAAGCAAAGGTCTGATGGACCATGAATGCCAGATCAGTCAGGTGTAGATCTCGTACCACCTGCTCATCTTGCTCTGCCAGTTTGGGATTTTGTCGTAGATACTGTAGTCGCGCAGTTAGCCTCTCACACATTCCCTATACAAAAACAGTTAAGCATAAGGTAGATTTTACCTCAAGTTTCCTCTTGAGCTCCTTCTCCTCTTTAAACCGGGCAATTTTCACGTCTCGTCTTGCTGCTGCATCCCGCGTGTTGGCAGTAGAGAAATTATTTTTGTCTTCATTGTAGGCTTCGAGAAGTTTCGTATCCGCTTTGCCAAGCATATCGTAGGAATCTAGCAACTTCAGAAACCGCTCATAGTAACCCCGAGCACGTAGAAGGTTTGACTTTCTGAGCGAGACATCGGTGTTTGAAATTTTCTGCACGAGTTCGGCTAGATGGTAGTTTATCGCTAGGTATCTGGTTGGTTTGTAAGCATGGTGTTCGTTCTTGTGAAAGGTGTGGAAATCCAGCAATGTGTATCAATAAGATTTAACATACTGTAAATCGGTTGACGATATGTCTTCAAGAGACTCGTTTGGGCTGAACAGCGACACTTGTTCTGCGATCTTGAGACATTCTTCATAAGTGGCAATGGTCGTGCCGAGCTTTTCCTGGAAGGTGGGACTGTTTGGCTCGTAAGAAGATGAAAGTTCTTCGCGGGCCTTCTCGGCTTTGAAGAAGAGCCCTCGCAGACTCAGTGGTTCTTCTGACATTTTGTGGAGATTGAGTGTTAGAGTTGTGCTGACGATGAGGAAGTTTCGATACGTAGCCACGTGAGAGCGTGAAATGGTGTTGAGTCAGCACGGTCCTCCGAGTTGAGCATCGCGTACCCCGCCATCCCCGTAAATCGACCGCCCACTTCGAAGTATTCACTCTTAGATTGATGATGCGCCCATTTCGGTGTGCGAAAATGAAGCTGACCGCCTGTTCCAATGCACAGACCAAAATGGTGTAACATGCTTGGGTGTGGTCACGGGCGAGTGCGTTGTTTGCTGATTGGCAAGGCTTGCATGCAGTCGCGCAAATAGCAGCGACCTCTTACCTTCACTCACCAACCCACTTAAGCGAAACACTTCCACTATTTGCTTCGTTCACGGCAACCGTGACAATTCAGACACCTAGAGTGCATCCCAACTACTACAATGGTATGGATTGAAATCGAAGAGGAGCAGGAGGATTACCTCCTATCTGAGGAGAATCTCATCCGCACCATATCTATCCAAGATGACTACGAGATTGAGCAGTCCACGCAACGTGATGGTGAATTGGACGAAGATTCCGATGTCGAAGCCGACAATGCGCGTAGTCACGGTCCTGCGACAAGCATAGAGAAACGCAGAGCGCAGAACAGTATCATGAAAGCCTTTGCTACTAATATCAGTGCAGTCTTGACGCAGCGAGAGGTTGAAGATGCAGCTGCAAAAAGCGCCAAAGAAGAGCAACTCTCGATTCGCGACATTCTTGCGAATCAAGAAACAACTGTCCGTATCACTAACCCGCGCGACTATCAGACTGAGCTGTTCCAGAGAGCGAAGTCTGAGAATGTGATTGCAGTACTGGATACCGGTTCCGGGAAAACACATATTGCAACTCTTCTATTGCGACATGTCCTGGACATGGAGCTTGACCACCGGGCGAGAGGTGGCATTCCAAAAATGGCCTTCTTTCTTGTAGGTCCATCAACTCAATTTAAACAAACGCAGCTGACACTTCCAGGTCGACTCAGTCAACCTCGTTTTCCAACAAGCAAACGTCCTACGCTGTGGTCTCGATCAAAACGTGGAAGGAATATGTGGTTCAATGGGCGCATCACTATGGTCAAAGTCGACTTGGCAGAGCTACTTTGATAAGAACATGGCCATAGTCTGTACAGCAGAGGTCCTCGTTCAGTGCATGATGCATTCTTTCATCACCATGTCCCAGATAAATCTCCTCATCTTCGACGAGGCTCACCACGCCAAAAGCAACCACCCGTACGCCCGTCTGATGAAGGACTATTACCTCCAAGAGACGAACGTTTCTCAACGACCCCGCATTTTCGGCATGACAGCCTCTCCTGTTGATACGAAAGGACTGTCAGCAGACCATATCAAAGAAGCTGCTAGGAATCTAGAGAAGCTGCTTCATTCCAAAATTGCCACTACTGCCGAGAGCACACTTGCTTCAAACAGCATCAGCCGACCAGATGAAGAAGTCGCAATGTATCCTCGCTTGCAGGAAGAGTACGAGACGCCATTACATCAAAAGATCAAAGCTAAGTTCGGAGATATAAGGGCTTTTGGCAAGTACTTTCTCGCATCAAAGCGCCATGGTAGAGAACTTGGACGCTGGGCTTCTGATATGTACTGGTCTTTCGTCTTTACCGAAGAGCAGAGTCGCAAATTGGAGCAGCGGGAACGTCTTAAACACTCCAAAAATCGGCCAGACGAAATCAAAGAGTGGGATGCCAAGGTGAAGCGCTTGCAAGAGGCAGCTGAGTTTGTTCAGCAACTCAATTTCGGCGCGTGCTCTCTGAGTAACCAGGATGTGAGCTCCAAAGTCCAGAAACTTCATTACTGGCTCAACCTGTATTACGAACGCAGCGACGAGGCTCGATGCATCGTCTTCGTTGAACAGCGACAGACAGCGCGGTTGTTACAGCTCATTTTCTCACAGATTGGCGGCCCGCACCTCCGGTGTAGTGTACTGGTTGGTATCAACACCCGTGAGCATGAGCAAAACATATCTCTCCGCAATCAGATTCTCACTGTGGCCAAGTTCCGACGTGGAGAGCTGAATTGCCTCTTTGCCACTTCTGTCGCTGAGGAAGGTCTTGACATCCCTCAATGCAACTTGGTCGTCAGATTCGATCTCTATCGTACTATGATTGCATATGTACAGTCTCGTGGCCGCGCAAGGCATCGAAACTCGAAGTATCTGCACATGATTGAAGAGGGTAACCATGATCACCGCGAGCGAGTCATGGACGTCAAACTTGATGAGCAAGTCATGAGGCGGTTCTGCAGAGAGCTTCCGCAAGATCGTCACATCGATGAGTACGACAATGAAAGCATGGATCTTTTGACATTTGAGGATCAGTTGTATCCGAGCTTCATCACCAAACTCGGTGCAAAGCTCTCATTCCGTTCGAGTTTGGCTATTCTCAATCATTTCGTCGCAACCCTGCCGGGACCTGACAGACAAACTATGCTACAGCCCACATACGTGGTCTGCCCTGATCTCAATTATGACGGTCGGGATCCTCAACGAAGAGGCTTCGTATCGGAAGTGATACTCCCAGAACACTCACCAGTCAACACAACCATTGGTGATGTGCAGAGCAAAAAGGCAATCGCTAAGTGTTCTGCAGCGTACAAGACGTGTCTCCAGCTCTACAAAAAGGGTTATTTGGATGACAACTTACTACCAACAACCATCAAGCGATTGCCAGCTGGAAGGAATGCCTTGCTAGCACTCGGTGAGAAGAAGAAAGGTAGGTATCCCATGCTCATCAAACCAGAGTTTTGGCAAGCAGGAAGAGGTTTGGTCCCTGCCAGTCTCTTTCTCACGATTGTTGATCTTGATGCTGGTCTCGATCGACCTCATCAACCTCTGGGCTTTCTTACCCGGAATCAGCTCCCCAAATTGCCTGAATTTCCAATCTACCTCACGGATGGTAGGCCTTCCAACATTGTTTCTCGGTCTTCTATGGTATCGTTCCACGTGCCTGCAGATATGCTGGAAATAGTTACAGTGTTCACCTTGCGCATATACAAAGACATATACAACAAGGAGTTCGAAAAGAATGCTCGGAACATGTCTTACTGGGTTGTTCCAGTACATCCGGATCGAGCATCTTTTATGTCTTCCGTGACTACCCTCGACCAGATTTTGGACATGGATCAATTGCGCAGAGTTTACCACGAATCAACATGGAGATGGACGGCTGATACTAAACCTGAGGATCTTATTAACCGCTACTTTGTAGATCCAGGAAATGGAGGTCGGCGCTACTACTCCGAACGTTTTGCGCCTCACCTCAAACCACAAGATCCTGTCCCCAAAGGCCTTGCTCGCCAAGGCCATAAATTCATGAGCTGTATTCTAGACTACAGCGATAGCACATGGACAAGAAGCAGGAATATCTCGAAATGGAACCAATCACAACCTGTTCTTCAAGCCGAAAAGATCCCTTTGCGTCGAAATCAGCTTGCGCGTATCGAGGACAAGGAGAAGGGAGAGTTCGATGACCTCAAGGCATACATTTGTCCAGAGCCTTTTCATGTATCAAATGTAAGTTTGGAGATACTCTCATTTCTAAGCATTCAAACTATGAATACTAACAACCCAGCTTGCGACACCATTCGTAGTCATGTGCTATGTGTTGCCGGCTATTATCCACCGCTTCGAGAGCTACCTCATCGCATTGGAAGCTTGTAGCGTCCTGGATCTCAAAGTCAACCCAGCGCTTGCCTTGGAGGCCTTGACGAAGGATTCGGAAAATTCGGAGGAGCATGACGAAGAAAAGATCAACTTCAAAAGTGGTATGGGCCCAAATTATGAGCGGTATGTACGCATATGCTTCGCACGAATAAGTCCAAGCTAACATCAATGCTTAGTTTGGAGTTCTTGGGTGACTGCTTCTTGAAAATGGCGACATCCCTTTCTGTCTTCGTCCAACAGCCAGATGAGAACGAATTTGAATTTCATGTCCGTCGTATGGAGATGCTATGCAATAAGAACCTCATGGAGACAGCAGTGGGAACGAAGAAAGTTGTTTCTACAGAAGGCACAGAGCAGGATCTGCAACTTTACAAATATATTCGCACAGAATCCTTCTCTCGGTATGTGAGCTGAAAAATACTCTACAACCTGGACTGACGTTAGTAGTCGTACATGGTATCCTGAAGGCCTAAAACTACTCAAGGGCAAGGGTGCGAACAAATCCCAGGACGACTGGCTCAATCTCACACACAACCTGGGAGACAAGAGCATCGCCGACGTATGTGAAGCCTTTATCGGCGCAGCCTTACAAGAGTATTACACAGGTGGTCGATGGAGACCCACTGATTGGGACGAAGCGGTAAAGGCAGTAAAGCTCTTTGCCAACAGCCCGGACCATATAATGTCAAAGTGGTCAGACTACTATGATGCATATCAAAAGCCAAAGTACCAGACTGCGGAGGCTAGCGCAGCGATGCTTGACATGGCTCGAAAGATTGAAATGAAGCATCCTTACCACTTCAAGTACCCTCGCCTCCTTCGGTCGGCGTTCGCCCATCCTTCGTACCCCTACATGTACGAGAGCATACCCAATTACCAACGACTTGAATTTGCTGGGGATGCACTCCTCGACATGGCGTTCATCACGCATCTCTACTTCAAATATCCAGACAAGGACCCGCATTGGCTCACCGAACACAAGACACCAATGGTATCCAACAAGTTCCTCGGCGCCGTATGCGTCAAGCTAGGCTGGCACGTCCACATAAAGCAAAACACCGCCACACTGACCAACCAGATCCGCGACTACGTGCTCGAAGCCGAAGAAGCCGAGCGCGAAGCCGGCGGCGCAGTCGACTACTGGGTCACCATCAGCGAACCCCCCAAGTGCCTCGCCGACGTCATCGAAGCATACGTCGCCAGCATCTTCGTCGACGCAGAATTCGACTTTGGCGTGGTCCAGACCTTTTTCGAAATGCACCTCAAGCCATTCTTCCTCGATATGACACTCGACTCGTACGAGAACTTTGCTTCGAATCATCCTACTACTCGACTTAGTCGCCTGCTCACTATCAACTTTGGATGTAGTGACTGGCGCATGGGCGCTCTGGAGACGGAAACCATCATTCCTGGGAAGGGCAAGGCGATTGCAGCTATGGTCTTGATTCATGGTAAAGTGCATTTCTACTCGCTGGGTCAGAGTGGGAGGTATGCGCGGGTTAGGGCTAGTCAGGCTGCATTGGAGAAGCTGGAGGGACTGCCGCCGTTCCAGTTTCGTAATGTGTATGGGTGTGATTGTGTGGATGAGGAAGTGGAGGGAGATGGATCTAAAGCAAAGGAAGAGCAGATGAGGGAGGCGATGGGGTTGAGCATTTAGGGACAGGCTAAGTAGGGTGGCACGAGGTTGATTGGTGTAATATTTATCCGGCTTGGAGCTGAAGCATTGACTATGTCCAGAGTTCTCGAATGGAAATTCAGGTTATTTCAATAAGTTCATTACCGGGATTGGGTTTTTTCCGAGTGTCGAAATGGTTTTTCTACCGTCTACAATATCTTTTTAATGGTCCATCGACTAGCTCATGCCAAGTAAAGAAGTATAGGATATATACATGCTCGCTTGTAAGGAAATACAATCAGAGAAAAGGAAAAAAAAAGGCTACATGATTCCGGATTTCAGAGCCGTAGTCTCCTCGTGTCATCAGAATTCGTATTCCCCATTATACAAAACATTAACTGAATAAAGAAGAGCCTTTACTTCATAGAAATCATAAAAGTCTCAAGATTACAAGCATAGAGCGCAAACAACGAAAGAGACAAGAGCTAGCATACTGCTGCCTCTAGGGTGCACAACCATCCCTGTTCCTGTCTCAGTAGGCCGCGCCCCATTACCAGTTTGACTGGGTTGGCTGTTGTTGTTGTCTCCGCCGGTAGAGCTTGGGCTGGTGTTTTCGCCGTTTGGTGTGTTGGCTCCATCCGAGACAATGTTGAGCTTGAGGTTCTGAATCTGCTGGCCACCACTACCATAGATCTTTTGCTGAACATTTGTCTCGTCTACATTGACCAACCTTCCGTTTTGAGCATTCTCGATACCGTTGTTGATGAGATCCTGACACCCTGGGCAAACGGCCGGAATCGTAAAGTTTTTGCTGAATTCATTTGCGGTTATGAGGCTGTCGCTACACTCTGGAGCTTGGACATCGGTGGACTGAGGGCTTGCTGATTCGAGCGCTTTGATGTCAAGCTTGTTAAATTGCTTTTGGAGGTTATCGAAATCTTGCATCAGTTTGACTGAACCATCTTGTTCAATCTCGACCAGGCCATAGCCCGCCTCTTCGGCGGAGTACTCGTATACAAGGCCACCAGAGAGAGCTCTCATTTGGTCACCATAAAGAGCCTGTACTTCATCAAAGTCACGGGGAGTTACACGATTGCAACCGTATTCGCTGAACTGTATGATGGTTAGACTTCTCTGATAGTTATTAATGTTGTGGCAAGCATAAGACCTACAAAAACAGGAATGGCAGAGTTAGCAAACATGTTGGCTAGGGTATCATAGCCGGAAGTTTGGATGTTGTCGCCATTGCACCAGCTGTAAGAGTTGAGGCCGAAAAAGTCAGATGAAGACATATCCTCGTCGTGGACACACTGCATGTAAGCCCAAGTATCTTGCAAAATCTCTCGGACATCGGCAGCGGAATAACCGACAGGTATGGTACGATTCACATGGTTCTTGATATAGTTTTTCATGTCACGTTGAACTGCCTGATTTACGTCAGTCAACTAAACGCGAAAATCGTTGAAAATATGAAAACGTACACGGATGTACTGCGGGTTGAACTCGGCAGTAGACAAATCATTCATAACCTCGTTGGCGGAGAAGAATCCAAGCGTGTTTGGGAAGTTCTTGAAGTTCTCAATGATTCCAAAGGCGCGGTTAAGATAGTCGCTGTTGTAGCTAGTCCATGGTTCAGCGCGGTTGATGCTCTCGCCTGGCAAGGGAGAGTTGACGTCGAGCATCATGTAAATGCCAGCGGCATTGAAGATGGAGGCACACTCGGAGTGATCGAGGGCAGGATCAAGATTGTAGACACGAAGTGTGTTCACACCGAGTCTCTGCATGAGGACTGCATCTCGCAAGCAGACACCGGAATTGGTTAGGGCATCCTCTTTGTTGGAAGGTTGATATGCGCCTTGTCCTCCGGGCTGGTAGTCGACACCAATTATCATAAGGCGCTCGCCCGTAACAGTGTCAATGAAGTCGCGACCGCGAACTTCAACGGGATTGACAGCATGGCCAAGATATGAGAAGAGGGCTGGGAGAATGACAGCCGCGCGAGTAAGCTAAGCACATGAGTGATTAGCGATGCGGGTACTAGCGGAAACATGAGCGGAACGCTCTTGATGCAAGGTACTTACAAAAGACATATCAGCGAACGACTGTCAAAGAACAACGATGGTGGAACGAAAGACGCAGAGCCCTGTGGGACAGTTACTAGAGAGCGACTCCAGCGAGTCTTATAATGTTATGATAGCCGGTTTGCGGCAGTATCGCAATCGATATTGCACCAACGCTAGTTGCAGGTATTCTTGGCGGGAGAGGATCAGCTAAGACGGATTACCTGCCGGATAGCGTGTTGTGATTCGAGGGAGCGAGAAAAAGAGGGCGTGGGGAACCGATCAGTCTGCCTGAAATGACGGAGAGCCAAGGAAGTGAGTGGAGAGAAGAGAGTGTTGCGCTGGACTGGATGAAACTCGAAGTAATTCACTGTCACTATCACCACGACGGCGGCCACAACAATAAACAAGCGAGGCGGGCAGGAGCAATCCATCACGCCGCATATCCGGAAGGCGCGATTGGGGTCTAATCTTGGCAGTCAAGTCAACCAGGCGAGGCAGGAGCGGGATGACCTCAGGACCCACGGCCGTTGGCATTATCAGCATTGGTAGTGTCGATGTCAGTGTCAGTGCAAAGTCCAAGTGCCATACTAGTGCTAGTGTCCATGGAGGAATGGGAATGGGTGGGTCGCGAAGAAGCTTTGCTATCCCGGCTCAAGTCCCCCACCATATCTTGCTTTTCCATGCCGTCGGCAGCATCTTGCATCCTGCCAGCCGTGCGCCCCTAGTAACACGTCCGAGTAACTGTGACGCCACTCTCCATCCTTCCCCAGCCACTCGTTTTCTTGTGTATCGGCTTACCAATGGCTACAAGCCACGGCACTGCCTGCACAACAGTGCACTTCCATCGACACTTCACATTCCCGCATAATTGTATTCATGACCCCCGCCGTCGAATCCCTGCTGTTGGTCGAGCTAGCCATGGCACTCAAATGGTCGATTGCTCCATGTGGGACGCTTGTGCAGCTTCTTAGTTCGCACCATGCACTTGACCTTTGAGAAACCTGTCCACCGGCTGTTGGGGCCGTTGGAATCCAGTTTCATGCAAAAAGGGCTTCCGCTAACTGCTGGACGGATCTATTGGCAACGAAGCATGCCCAGGCGCTCGTCATCCACTCATGTCCACGTCCTGCGCCTTTCTCTTCACGCCGCTCTCGCCGCCCTCGACTTGCTTTTGGAATTTGGCCTGGACAGCCTCGAGCAATACCTCCTTGACTACCGCGAGACTGCCCACAGCCGCGTGTGTAGCTCCCTCAATGAGCGCATCTGGCTCTGCACCAACGTCTCCCTTCATCCACATCTCCGTGATCTCGTCTCTTGAAGCCAAGTAACCCACTACGCACGCTGCAACCACTTCCCTGTGCTCCGCAGGACACGGGTCCAGAATCTTAAGCAGCTCTTGCTCGTTTTTTGACGACGGATTTCGTACAATGGCGGCCACGCCTCCACATACTACATCCACGCAGTCAATGCCCGCGTCTGTTATTGCAGCACTGGCAACCGTAATACAGCCTGCCAAAACATTCAAGAGACCCCACCCACTTCCTGTCGCGTTTCCCCCGCTTGCCAAATCACCCCACCAGCCATCTTCATCGCCCTCAAGAATTGTGACCACAACTTCCACGCCACTCTTGGGCCATCTTTCGCCAATGATGACGCCTCGTAGTGCTGTCTCCAGATGCACGCCCAGGTCGCGTTCTGTTGCGTCGCGTAGATAGCCCCGCCTATGCCGTGTTGCAAACGGTGCAAATTTCACAGTAGTCGTTAGGAGAAGCGACGGACTAAAGGGCGCGCTGCGGGGGAGGGGCTTTGGGCCTTGTATTGAGGCCGTTATCTTAAGCGAGGAAGTTGGCGCAATGAGGCTAGAATTGTTCGCAACCGAAGACGACGGTATCTCGAGGTACGCGGAGCCGGACGCAGAGGGTATAATAGACGTTTGGAGGACTATACTTGAGTATTAGCACATAGAATACGGATAACCAGCGCATCCTGGAGCTGTGCAAAGCTTGTCGACAGCTTTCTCTCAGCAATGACATCCAGGTCGAGCGAACAAGGTGCTCGTAGAAGCGCCGATAGGTAAACCTAACAACTCACAGATCCTGCGAAGCTCATTTGGGCCTCTTGATCTTGTCGGTCTCAACTTTTCGACATATTGCGGCTCCCTGATAGTGCGCGCAAACACGGGAGCACTTGTTCCACCACTAGGCGCATTATTTCTCCGTCTGTCAATATTCATAGCCATTGTGTGGGGGTAGATGTTTGTGCTGCAAGAAATGTGGATGATCTCATGGCGGTAGGCACGCAAATTATGCATGACTAAGCTGCAGATCCGCCAAGAGTTCGTTCCTCAAGCTCAATTTTCCTTCGCGTCCGGGCCAACTTTCTTTCCTTACAACACTTCAGCATTCGAGGTAAGTTACCACCGCATTTTCTTTCTACCCGATCTTCCATGATTGATACCCTTGAAATACGTTCTTGTGATCTCAAATGAGCTTTGAACACATGCACCACCCTCTGATCTCGTTTCTATCAGCTTTTGGTTTCACGGCAGGCTTTGCGACTTTGGCTGACTCAATTCAGATGCTACAGCAATAACATCTCGCAACGGTGCCCAGTCACTGAGATGGATGTATTGACAATATGCTGGCAATGCGCCCGAGCTGCCGCTGTCGTGTTCTTCTAGGAGAGTCTGCGTATACGGATATGAGCATGGGGTCTGTGGGATCTCGAGACCTTCGCTGAGCACAAGCTGCTATTTCGGCTTGCATCACCGGAGGTCTTCGCTGTTCAACACTAGAGGTGGTTTGCCTGGGCGCACTGTGACACTACCCATGAGTGCATTCACACAGCCTTGACCTGGTGTAGCCAGGAAGGCCAGGCACTAACATTTGGTAAGTCGAGCTCTACACCCCTACAATCTCATTTTGTGATGAACGTATTATTTCAGTTCTGCTTCCGAACTACAATGTGGAAGTTATATACCGCTTACCTTTGTCTGATATAACTTGGTCTCTATCTTGTTGAATCAATGTTTCCAATGGACGTTGCTGACGTTGTAAGCAGACTACAGCATAGCTTATATCTTCACTCCCTCAGTGGTAAGCACCCCACCTTTCTTTTCTTTCGCCAGGAGGAAAACTAGTCTATCCATTCAATGACATCTGTTGCCGGGTCACCCTCCCGCACCCTACCAGCTTCGGCTGGGATGACGGGTTGTGGAGTTGCAATGCTGGCTCGTCCAGCGCTGCGTAATTGTGGTCTTTGTGCTGAAAGTTGTGGCAATCCGTCTTGGGCTGCCGCGACCAGAGGCCAGGTGATAGGGGATGATTAAACACGGCTGTCTGAGCATATTGCCTACTATGAAGGTTTTGCGAGATTGCAGCTGGAGCACTGCTAACAGCGCTCAGATCACTTTTTGTAATAACACTCGCAGCTTCGCATGTCCGGTCCGCGAGTAGCACCGAGGGTGGAATGGTGACATGCTGGGGGGCATCGGTAGCTTGGGTAGATGCAGTTAGATAGTTGCAAATCCTATGATTTACACTTGCCCAAATTAGACACTCCTCTTTGTATTAGTGTGTTATTCATTAGGGACACGCCTGTGGGTGCCATGTGTAATCGCCCTCGAGGACATACCGTCAGCGCGCTGGTTGTGACAATAAATTTTCCATTGGCTGTGGCAATTAAGCACACGGCACAGGCATAACAGTCAGCCTCGCAGCGAGGGCTGCATGGATGGGGAGGCAGGGTGCTGTGCAGAATGCCATGCCGTGTCTTCTCCACTGAATTTCCGGCGAATACGTACGCCTGCGTATCATTGCTCTGAAACGGCCATACTACTAGTCAGCTTGGCTTAGCTCCACGCCCCCGAACAGTTGCAAAGTGTCCGAAACGCAGCGAACAAACCATTTGGCATCTCGCCGGGCACGCGCATCGACTTGATAGTTTGGCGCGATCTCTGTCAGCTGCTGCGGACCATCGACATTAGTACAATTAAACTTTAACGTGGCCTTGGCGAGTTGATCCTCAGCCAAGACCTACCAGAGGATACCAAAGACGCGCGAGCCCTCGATTGATCCAACAACCCACGCTCCTCTCGCCGCAATCACCACGGCCGACTACACCTCTCCCCTGACAGGATAGGGGAGGACAGAGCATCATTGTTCCGTGGCGCAGCCGTGTAGTTTGGGAGGTCTTAGCTGACCAGGGTTTCAAAGGGACCGATCCATACTATCTGGTGCCCGTCTTCCACGAATGCTTCCTTCATACTCAACGTCAAAAGGGAAAATGCATCGCCATGCGTTTTCCAACGGGGCATACCCCTCCCAAGGAGGAGGTACTTTTTCCATACAGCCTCACAAGTACGTCTATACACTGCAATGCACAGCGCAACCCCAGCGCACTACCTCTGCATCGTACCTCCTTTACCCCCACGACTCTGGCTACACAACGTCCTGACTTTGATTGTGCCTCTAGATTCCAGCCGCGGTCACAGCCTGCCCTAAGACGGCGAAGGACGCTGATACAGCGCCTGCTGCTTGTGGGCTCGCTTTTCTTTACAGCGCTCTTCTTCTTTTTTCCCAACCTGCGACCAAATTTGGGCTCCGGACCCCTGAGCCTCATCACTTCGAGCGACGATTCGCAACTCGAGACGGTACGATACTACGACCTGAACAATGTCCAGGGCACTGCAAGGGGATGGGAAAGGGAGGAGCGGATACTTCTCTGCGCTCCATTGCGAGACGCATCCCCACATTTGCCCATGTTCTTTAGCCACCTCAAGAACCTTACATACCCACACAACCTCATTGATCTGGCATTCCTGGTTGGAGATTCCAAGGACAACACAATTTCACTCCTGACGGAAAAGTTGAAGGAGCTGCAGGCCGACCCGGACCCAAAGCAACAATTCGGAGAGATTTCAATCATGGAAAAGGACTTTGGACAAAAGGTCAACCAAGATGTTGAAAGTCGCCACGGTTTCGCTGCACAGGCTAGCCGTCGAAAGTCAATGGCACAAGCCCGCAACTGGCTCTTGAGTGCTGCTTTACGGCCTACACATAGTTGGGTATACTGGAGAGATGTGGACGTGGAGACTGCTCCGTTCACCATCTTGGAGGATCTCATGCGCCATAACAAAGATGTTATTGTACCCAGTATGTTTCACTTCATATAGCAGAGGTGTTCATTGCTAACATGTCGTTCAGATGTCTGGCGACCGCTCCCAGACTGGCTTGGCGGAGAACAACCATACGATCTAAACTCCTGGCAAGAGTCCGAGACTGCGCTTGCTCTTGCGGATACACTCGACGAGGACGCCGTCATTGTAGAAGGTTACGCAGAGTACGCGACCTGGCGCCCGCATTTGGCATACCTTCGCGACCCCTATGGTGACCCGGACATGGAAATGGAAATTGATGGTGTTGGTGGTGTTAGTATTCTTGCAAAAGCCAAGGTCTTCCGTGCCGGTTGCCACTTCCCCGCATTCAGTTTTGAGAAGCACGCCGAGACAGAAGGATTCGGCAAGGTAAGATATTCGACCTCTTCTCATGCCACGAAGCTAACATATTGCAGATGGCCAAGCGCATGAAGTTTTCAGTCGTCGGTCTGCCTCACTATACCATCTGGCATCTTTACGAGCCTAGCGTCGACGACATTCGGCATATGGAAGAAATGGAAAAGGAACGCAAGGCGAAGGAGGCTGAAGAAGAGGCCAAGAAGGCCAAGGAGGCCAAGATCAAAGAGTCTTTTGACGAAAAGAAGGGCGACTGGGAGAAGGAGAAGGCCGCAGTTCAAGAGCTAATTCAAAAGGCAAAGAGCGAGGCTAAGGAAGGGGAGCAGAAGGACAAGCAGCTAGAGGAGAAAAAGAAGGAAGAGACTAAAGAAGAGAAGCCAATTGAGAGGAAGGAGGACAAGTCGTAGCGCCTACAGTACATGAATAATGCGAGGGGCTACAAGACTTGGACTTCTTTCTACTGATGCAGCTTCGTGCGTGCAGTGGGGATGCGCGAGTACGGCAACGACAGTAACGACTTGGGTAGACTGGGAGCGCGCATCTGGAGCGTTGGTTTCTCTCAACTCACTGCATGCTTTGGCTGGGACCCAATAACACCAGCATGTAGTACGTCAATGTTGAGCTGGATTTGCTTGTAGGAATCAGAGCTTGTTGCTTTCTCTTATGGCAGGCGTTAGACAACCAGTTTGAAGGGTTGCATACATTAGACAGCAATTATTGCATCACAAGGCGCTTAGGGACTCAGCAGTAGAATCGGCAGCCTATTCATCTGTAGTAATATTTGACACTATCTTAAGTCGGTCTTGGGGTTTCCAACTGGTGTTTATTCGGGCGGTGCTTGGCCCTACGTAGGATGTTTGCTTAGGACCCTGGCACGATCAGCGTTGCGTCTCAGCACCTCCGAAACTCCGCTGCGTACTAGAGCTAATCCGCCAGATCACCGAATAGATCATTTGCCAGTTGCCTAGTACTTACGGACACATTGTCAATAGACGACTCCTAATCGCACTCGAGAGGCTCTGGAATACGTCTCCCTTTTTTCAGGCAACAGCAAAGAGTTGGGAGAATGCGTGTCATCTTTCCAATCGACTGAACGTAGCATATAGTTGTCCATGTGCCCGCCAGTATAACGACACCGTGTCGCGCGCAATACTTTCCCCACCACTTACGCAACTACACACCAGCTTTCCGGCACCATGTCGAGCATCGACGGCGATGACAATGGCGCGTCAACCCTCCAAGAGACGGTCGCAAGTCTGGACCCCCGCCCCATTACCGTCGCAGTCAACCCAGTAGCTCTCGTCGTGACAGAATGTATCACCGTCACGTCGGCGATGCGAAAGCATGCCCGCTGGGCGCATTCGTCAGTCGCGGCGATATTGGGGAGCTCCTCCAACAAGGCTCCAACCGTACAGCGGCGCGATCGAACAGGACAGGGCATTGTGAGCGCAGGAGAACCAGAAGAGGCTGTTCCAAGCAGATGGGGATTGCGGGGGAAGAAGGGCAAGAGCATGCAAGACAACCCCCTCATGTCTGCATTTGCGCGCCTAAGGAATGATCTCAAGGGCTGCAAAAGTAAGGAGATTCATTCCCAATGGGCTCCATTCCAGAACTATGCTAATGCTACCGCACCAGATATTCGGACATTCGATACGCCCTCTATGCTTCACCCCTTCCTACAAGTTATCCGTTCGTCTTCCACATCTGCGCCCATTACCTCACTCGCCCTGATTGCCATTACTAAGTTTCTGTCATATGGCATTATTGGCTACGATTCTCCACGCCTACCAGAAGCTATGCAGCAGCTCTCTTCTGCCATTACACACTGCCGTTTCGAAGCCACCGACTCTGCGGCAGACGAGATTGTCTTGCTCCGCATCCTCAGGTTGATGGAAGTCATGATATCGGGCCGTGGGGGAGAGGTACTCGGTGACGAGAGCGTATGCGAGATGATGGAAACAGGCTTGAGCATGTGCTGTCAGGCACGACTCTCCGAGGTGCTGCGACGATCTGCTGAGGTGGCCATGGTTTCGATGTGTCAGGTTATATTCAGGAGATTGAAGACCCTCGAGGTTGAGTCGCCAGATGAACTGCAGGCTATGGACGAAGAGCTCGAAGGCAAAGATGAGCAGGACGGCCTACGGATGGACCCAACAGCAGACGGCGGAGGCGATGCTGCACAGCATAAGGTGGAAGCACTACAGCTTTCAAGTGACCCCGATAAGGGCCAAGAAGATAACGAAAGCACCGTAAATCCAGCGAGTAGTACTCTGGATCTTCCTGCGACAGCTGCAGATGGGGAGCCTAAGTCCGCTGTCGAAATCAAGCCATACTCGTTGCCGTCTATAAGAGAACTGTTTCGAGTACTGGTCGATCTACTGGACCCGCATGACCGACAGCATACTGATACTATGCGTGTCATGGCGTTGCGCATTGTCGATGTCGCACTTGAAGTTGCTGGACCCTCAATCGCAAGTCATCCTAGTCTTGCAAACCTGGCCAAGGATACCCTGTGTCGGCACATTTTCCAACTGGTCAGGTCGGACAACATGGCGATTCTGAACGAGTCATTGCGAGTCGCTGGTACCCTGCTGGCAACATGTAGGAACGTGCTCAAGCTGCAACAAGAGCTTTACCTGTCTTACCTAGTGGCTTGCCTCTTTCCAAGGGTGGAGATACCAGTAGAGCCTGGTATTGAGCCTTCATTATACGAAGGTGTCCCACAGGCGCCGAGTCTCATAAAGCAACCGCCGCAACAAAACAGCTCCAGTGGCCGTTCGACCCCAGTACCTGTTAAAGATCGACAAAAGTTGGGTTTGGAGGGAGGCGTCCGAAAACCCGATGCCCGAGAAGCCATGGTGGAGAACCTGGGCGGCTTGGTTCGGATATCGTCATACATGGCAGAGCTGTTTGTCAACTATGACTGCGAGATTGACCGTGGTGATGTCTGTATGGACATTGTGGGACTTCTCTCGAGGAACGCCTTCCCAGACTCCGCAACCTGGAGTACTGTCAATGTACCTCCTCTCTGCTTGGATGCCCTCCTCGGCTTTGTGCAATCCATGGCCGATCGTTTGGACGACGAACCAGTGACTGAAGGTTACCCCAGTGTCGAATCTCTTCGTGAGCAGCGGGCACGCAAGGCTGTCATCATCAAGGGTGCAACCAAATTCAACGAGAAGCCCAAAGCTGGCATCGCGTACCTAGCGTCACAGGGCGTTATATCCGACCCCGATGATCCCAAATGCATCGCTGAATTCGTCAAAGGCACAACGAGAGTTGATAAGAAAGTTCTCGGAGAGTTCATCTCGAAGAAAGGAAATGAAGCAATACTTAGTGCCTTTATCGACTTGTTCGACTTCACTGGGCAGCGCATTGATGAAGCGCTCCGCCAACTTCTACATGCTTTCCGTCTTCCTGGAGAATCTGCACTGATTGAAAGAATTCTCACTGAGTTCTCTGAAAAATACTTCAAAATGGCAAAGCCTGAAGGCATTGTCAACGGCGACGCTATCTACATTCTCACATACGCAGTTATCATGTTGAACACCGACCAGCACAACCCCAACATGAAGCAAAAGCGAATGCAACTGGAAGACTTCAGGAGAAATGTACGGGGTGTGAACGACGGAAAGGACTTTGACGCAGAGTTCTTGGAGAAAATCTACGAGTCTATCAAGAACCGTGAAATCATTCTGCCTGAGGAGCATAGCGACCGAAACGCCTATGAGCATGCGTGGAAAGAGCTACTCGTCAAGTGTCAGTCAACATCAGATATTGTCATCTGTGAAACCAATATTTTCGACGCAGACATGTTTGCTGCTACCTGGAAACCCATTGTAGCAACACTGGCATATGTTTTCATGTCCGCTACCGACGATGCTGTCTTCTCACGCGTTGTGCAAGGCTTTGACCAGTGCGCTCAGATTGCAGCGAAATATGGGCTTACCGATGCTTTGGACCGCATCATCTCGTGCCTTTCGTACATAAGCACATTGGCGCCTGATGTGCCCCCGAGCACTTCATTGAACACTGAGGTTCAGGCCGACAAGAAGAGTGTCATGGTCAGCGAGACTGCTGTCCGGTTTGGTCGCGATGCCCGAGCGCAACTAGCAACCGTCGTGCTGTTCCAGGTGATCAAAGGCAATGAAGCATCGATAAGAGGCGGATGGGAACATGTAAGTCTCCTGTTTGTGTACTCAGGATATCGCTAACATTGATAGCTTATTCGCATCATGGTCAATCTCTTTGTCAACTCGCTGATACCGCCTTACTTCCTTTCCTTCCAGAAAACCCTTGCCTTAGCACCAATACCCCTCCAGAACCCAGCCCAAGTCATTGACCGTGCTGAGCGTCCCGCCGATACGGGAATATTCTCAGCTTTGACATCTTATGTTTCCAGCTTCGCTAATGATGAGCCGCCAGAGCCATCGGACCAGGAGATAGAGTACACACTTTGCACTGTAGATACGGTGAAGGAGTGCCATTTCGAAGACATCCTTGCAAACATCAGTCAGCTACCTGTAGATTCTCTCAGGGCACTACTTGATTCATTACTTCGGCATCTGCCCGAAGATGGGTCACCAACAGTCATCGTGGTGAAGCCTGAAATTCCAGGTGCAAGTCCACGAACACCTGGTCCTCGACAGAAAGGCAAGGGTCCCCTTTATGACCCCAGCTTGGTCTTTGTTCTTGAGCTAGCCACTGTATTGGCCCTACGTGACGAAGAGACTGTCAAAGACCTTGCAAAGGATGTGATCGATGCGCTGGCGTCGGTCATTCGAGATGCTACCAAGCATCATTATGTGGTAGTTGCCCGGTCGGCATACTACCTCCTGAGCCTGCTCAAGGCTAGCAATGTGAGTATCAATACGCAAGGTGTTTTCAGTCTTCTAATATGATTAGGATTACGACTTCATTCGAGCGCCAGTTCTTATGCACACTTTTTCGAGCTTCAACGATTCACTGCTGCAGGAGTGTGCACAACCAATCCTCAAGGGATTGAGCGATTGCTGCAAGGGACCCAACGCGCTTCGCAGTGAGCTTGCAGGCTCACCAGACTTCTGGACTATTCTTAACAGATTAGCCAATGTACCTGATGCCGCTGGAGATGTCTTTTTACTTGTGGAGGACCTAGCTACATCACCACAGCCAGGCATCACTGCAGACAATTATGAAGCTGCAATTGCGCTTCTCAATGAGTTTGCAACCGCCGCTCAAGTGGGCGCACGGGAGGAGCAGTTGTATGACCAAGCAGTACGGCGCAACAAGGGACAGAAGCTCAAAAAGCCGGAGAATAGTGAGATTGTCGTACGAGGCAGTACTGCAATGAGCATCGTATTCCAGTTGTCCAGCCGAGTACCTAACTTTATCGAGCAGTCTCATCTTGAGACTACCAAAGGTAAATTGATTGATTTGAATTTACACATACACATGCTAATGACGTCGCAGCATGGACAGCATACTGGTCTCCTATTCTGAAGACGCTTGCACACCAATGTCTGAACCCTTGTCGTTCCATCCGTCAACAAGCTTTTGTCTCACTCCAGCGCACTCTCCTATCCGCTGATCTTGCCTCTCCTGACCACAAGGAATGGACCTCCATCTTCAGTGAAGTGCTCATCCCACTCATTACCCAACTCCTCAAACCAGAAGTGTACCAATCCGATCCTCTCGGTATGAGCGAAACGCGAGTCCGCGCAGCCACTCTCCTCAGCAAAGTTTTCCTGCATTATCTAGTCCTCCTGGACGGCCTTGGCGAGAAAGGAGAAAAAGGTCTGTTTGAAGAACTTTGGATCACCATTGTCAGTATCATGGACCGGCTAGGCAACAGCGGCCAAGGCGACATGGAAGAAGCCGTAGCCGAGAACCTCAAGAACATGCTTCTTGTCCTGAGCAGTGGAGGTTACCTCGCTCCGCCCGACGAAAACCCAGACCGCGAAGAACTCTGGCATGAGACTTGGAAGCGCATCAATCGCTTCCAGCCGAACTTCTTCGCTGAGCTGTTCCCCGAAGAGGCGGGCAAGCCGGCGCGCCCGAGGCCAAGTAAGGACGAGAGGGCTGCCGCGAAGAGTCCTGTGCCGCCGGTAGAGAAACGGGAGATGGATATTGCAATTAGGACGAAGGATGATGGGGAGAAGAATGGGGCAAATGAGGAGACTGACGAGGACGATGAGGATGATGAAGAAGAAGAGACCGAGCAGAAGAAGAAAGCTGAGGGGAAAGATGATTAGACTTTTTTTCTTTCCGGAATAGTTGGTTCTGGGGTGTTGTTGCTAGAGTAGACGATTCCATGTTACGAGTTGTGTAGTACTAGACGATATGTTGTTCACGGGGAGTATGTAATTGATACGCACGACATATTTATCTTCTCTGCAAACATGCCCTCCCTCCCCCTTTTTTTTCCTTTGATTGCTACCCGGTTCTTCTCCACGATACCTGCGAGGCATGTTTGCACACATGGACACAATCACTTTGTCACCTTGTATATTAATGAACATCAAGGAAAGAAAGAAAAGAACGTTAGGTCTTGTCGAATATTTTCATTTCTCGCACAAATATATACGTTATACTGAAAAAGTTTCTCTCAACCCCCCAGCTTGTCTAAAAAAGCTTACCCCCACTTCCACATTCCGTGTTTGATATCTCCCCTTATTCTACCTTGCGCCCCTTTCAGATGCTTAGTTCATGCGGCCTTGGAAACCCCTTTTGGCGGGGTGGACGACTATGGTGGCTGGGGCTGCTACGGCGGGAGTCTCTGCTGCGGGAGCTTCTGCCGCTGGTGCTTCTGCCGCTGGTGCTTCGGCTGCTGGTGCTTCGGCTGCGGGAGTCTCGGCTGCGGGGGCCTCAGCAGCAGGAGTCTCAGCGGGAACCTCAGCAGCGGGTGTCTCTGCTGGTGGCGCTTCAGCAGCAGGTGGTGCCTCAGCAGGTGGTGCCTCGGCAGGAGGTGGACCACCAGCGCCCTCCTCAGGGGGAGCAGGTACAAAACTGTATAAGAAACAAATCAGCTCGTGCTCAGAGAAAATCATAAGGCGGATATTGTTCAACTTACGCAGCAGCGTCCAAAGCCAACTTGCCTGGCGTTCCACCCACAACATCCGTACCATCAACACTGGCACTGCTCTGCTGGCTCTTCTTCGTATACTCAGCCAACTGTGTCGCATTCGACGGGTTAATCATCATAACCTGGCCCAACTGGCAATGCGGGCCGGTCGCACAGTACAAGAACATGGGCTCAGTGCTCGTAATGGGCATATTGAAAGTTCCAACTTCGGTCTGGCCATCTTCAAAGGGGATGTGGCCGCTGTGCACGCCTCCATCCATGGGAGTGCATGCGGTGTCAGCGGTGGACTGAGTGACAGTATGGTTGCCGTTTGAGAATTGGAACTGTACAATGTCGCCTACAGCGGCAGTGATGGAGTTGGGGACAAATGTGTCTTGGGGACCCCCAACAACGACGGGGATTATCTGGCTGGCGCGGCGGAGGGGATTTCCTGGTAGAAAGTGTTAGAAAACATGAATTTCAATTGCAATACGAAAGCACAAGAACGTACTCTTGATAGCGGGCAGTTTGCCAGCCGTCCTGAATGATGCGCCAGGGAGCGCAGCCGCTGTGGCAGCAAAGACAAGAGACAAAACGAAGCCCTTCATCTTGGAATTGAAATACTCAAATAAAGTTTTGGTGCTTTACAAATGTGTGTACCGAGGGTATCAAAATTGGACCGCAAAGAAACCGTTCAACGGTTAGTCCTCAAATCAGACAAGAAAGATGGTAAAAAATTGTAAGGTATTATATAACGACCGTTTCTACGACTAGCGCAGGTCAAAGAAGAAAGAAAAAGAGTGATGCGAAGTGAAAAAAAAGGTGCGAAGAAGACTGGCAACAAAGAGAGACAACAAAAGAAAACGAGGCTTACAAGAATATCTGCCTGATATATGTACACCACATACACCAACCTCCACTTTCCTTTACCCCCCGTTTCTCTTCGTCCACATGCGCCTGAATCGGCCGCGCAACCTCTCGTTCCCACACACGAATCTCCATCCTCACCTCCTGCCAAACCCGCATCTCAAACACGCAAAGGAAAAAAGTGGCCTGAGGGTATGCCTCCAAGTTGAGCCTAACCATCCTATGAGACTCATTCATGTGGATACCCAAGCCGCCGCGACTGTTGCACCTACTCCTAAAACGAACATTCGCCAAGTTCAAGGAGAACAGGAATTATTAATCGTTTATTTTCTTTGGTTCGCTTCTCTCTTTGGTTGGAGCTTCGTTAGAAGGTATATCGGAATGCTTCCACGGCATATGTTGAGCCTCGTTTGAGGATAAGTGGGGAGCCAAGCGGGTAGCTTGCACGTTTGGAAACCGTAACTGCATTACCAGGCGCGGCGACAAGGGCTTGGGAGGGGGGTCCCACCAAGGGCTGCAAAACGGACGGGTTCGGCCGAGGGGGAGGTCCTGTTGGGAAAGATTTATTTCAATCATGTTTCCAAGGTACGAGTTGGGTATTGAATCGAAAAGGAGGCGCTGACTCGTGCTTGATGGATAGTAGTAGATTCGAGTGGGACTTGCTCTTCAGTAGTAATGTGCCTCCAAGGAAAAGCTTGTGGCATTGGTTAAACTTGGAAGTTCAGATTGTAGATGTCATAACTTCCATTTGTAAGCAAAGTACCGTGTTGGCGCATACATTTACATGATGATAATTGTGGGCTGCATTGCCGTGCTGTCCCAGACCAGACATGAGTTTGCGCTCAGGAGGCATCTACAAGCGAACGTTTTGGGTCAGCACGTGCATCCGTTACCATGGCCAGACACGACGAAGCCGGCTTGGCTTAGGATGCATGACTGCGTGGGGCCGAAAAAAAGAGAAGGGTGTTGTTGACGGCAAGGCGGATGTCAAGTGAGACAGCGTATACTTCAGATGACAGCTGTAAAGTTGATTATGGTATTTCCAGGCGAACTTTAGCATCTTGCGTCATCTATCCCGCCAGATCGGTTATCTCACATGTCAGCACTTGGTCTATGCATGACACTCGTCCCCGTTGTTCGCCGGCTGTATTCCGCGATTACAACTGCGCTGAATCGCCGGTACGTTTGCTCGCATGGGTTGAAATCGGCCCTTCTGGTTCACTTCTTAGTACATAGCTTCTGCTTTTAAAGGCTCATATTGCCGTTGTATACGGAGAGTGGAATCGAACAATCACGAAGCATCGACAAAGAAGGACCAATTGAAGCTGACAAGGCAGAAAAACAAAGACAACGACAATCAAATGCAATCGACAGATGTAGGAAGCGCAATCAGGTTTCATTATTGGTTAGCTCTGCACCGATAGGGGCATAACTAAAGGTATTGTACGGCGGGCACTCCAGGCGACTCGAGCGTGGCTGCTTCAGCTTCCCCGTAGACACCGCATAGTCCTATTGCAGACAGGACATGGTGATGTCATGCACTTGCATCGGAACCAGGGATAGCTTTTGTCAACAGAAACGCAGTCATACACAGTGTATTTGGGGATCATGTCCAAGTGCGACCGTCTTCAGATTTGCAGGCAAGAGCCCCAGATGGGTTCGTTTAGAGGAAGTAGTCTGGGGTCCTTCGTGATACCATGGGCTCGCCCGCTCGTGGGCAAGGATCGAACTGCAAGCTAGAGTAGGAGTTAGAGAATTGTAGTATATGATGAACCGACAGACACTTACAAGGTATACTTCAGGTGCTCGTCAATCTCCATGATTGCGGCCTGATTACCGCATCTGTAACAGTAGTTTGGTGCTGTGACATGTAAGCCGTTGAAGCCATCAAGTTGGAACGGAGCATCATACCTGAGAATATAGTCACGACGTTCCTATCTTGCGACCAGTTGTATCCCTCCATGACAAGCTGATGAGCACGTGCCACGAGCGTCAAGCCGTTGTTGTGATTGAATGCTTCTGAAATGTCCTGTCCAAAAGTGTATCCAGCACCACGAGGTGATATTCCCCAACCGCACCTGTCGTCTGGGTCGGACCAAAGCAAGTCGCACATTGGGCCCTCGTGAGGCACCTCTTGTATACGGTCAAGCGCCCTGATGTTGTCGAGCGTGTCGATACTGGGAGAGAGACCGCCGTGGAGACAGAAGATCTGGTTGTCGATCAAGGCGGTGAGGGGCAGGTAGTCAAACAAGTCTGTAAAGTATTTCCAAACATTGGCGTTGCCGTACTTGCGGAGGCACTCGTCGTAGAAGCCGTATACTTGGGTAATTTGACGAGATTCGTGGTTACCACGGAGGATGGTGATACGCTGGGGGTATCGAATCTTGAGTGCAACCAAGAGAGTCACAGTCTCGACGGAAAAGTAGCCACGGTCGACGTAGTCACCTGGGGAAATCAGCATACAGCCAGTGCGTGTGAGGCAGGGGACCCACCCATGAAGAGATAGTTTGTATCTGGGTTGGGGCCACCAATCTTGAAGAGTTCCATCAGGTCATGGAACTGGCCATGTATGTCACCGCATACTGTGACGGGACATTTCTGTGCAATGGTGAGTATATAGGGGGTGGCAGCAGAGAATGGCACCTACCACTGGCTGCACGTTCGACTCATCCTGGAGTACTTCGCGGGCCTGTGGCACAACCGATGTCAGAAGACGCAACCTTTTGCAATTTTTCAGCGCGAGCGAGCAGCGCATACCTTGTCGCATAGTCTCTGCACGTCGCTCTCTGCCAGCTGCTTGCAGCTCATAAGGCTCTCAATCCAGCCATCGAGGGTGGGAATTGTGGTCGGCTCAGACGTGGGGGCAGACGACAGCTGCATGGGCTCGGGCATCTTGACGTCTTCCATGTTGGTATCCATGATTGCGGGGCGGCGGGTTTGGTGTAGGTGGGGTGGTCGGGTGTTGTGGTGTAGAGCTGTCGAGGGGTTCTTCCCTTTCAAACTCGACCAATGACGTGCGGCAGATGCGAGTACGGGCGATAGGGCGTGTGGACTGGTAGGGTGTGGGAGAGGGAGTCCAAGGGGGTTGTGGGGTGTGCAGGCAAATATCAGGCGTGGCAGCAGGGTTTGAACACAGGAATACAGGGTGAATCAACTCTACGCACGCACTCCATCCACGCAAGGCGGGCGGCGCTGGAACATGGTTTCTCCAGGCCCCGATTGATTCGACAGCATGTCACGTGAGTGTCACTAGCGCGAACTATAGTTCGCGCTACTGCCGGCCAGCTCTGCCCAGCATCCGCGACCTCGTCCTTTCTCCACTCTACCACCCCAGTGTCACGGTTGCACATCGTCGCCTCCCACCGCGATCGGCAACAGCGACAATGTCCAACAAGCGCTCATACAGCGCTTTCCTCTCGAGCACCCCTCCAGACGCGCCGCACTCCGCCCATGGCTTCAACGCTTCCCAGCTGCAGGTAAGCCGTCATTGCAGCTGTGCACGATCCGTGATTCACAGTAATAGCAGGCGCAACAGGCAATGGCCCCCTCGACTTCCTCCGTTCACATGCCGGGCGCTTGGCCTGAAGAACTTTCGATCGCCGAAGAAGCCGCACCCGAACCCGCGCCAACCTCTGTCCTTACAATCATCGGGAAACTTGTAGCATCAGTGAATGTCGCAAACCTGCTCAATCTACCAAGGCGCATCGCAAACCGATTTCTGCACCAGCAAAAAATCAAGGCAATCTCAGTCATCAGCTCTTCTGGCTCCAACAAGAGACGCTTCGTCGCTGCCGGGTATGGAGATGATGAAGCTGCGACACCATCACCTTCAGAACGCGTGCACGCGAATCAGGCGCGTCGCCAGAACCAACGTCAAAAGCACACATCTCTCGCACAGCCAGAATTCCGAAACCATACAGCCAGTCCTGAAGAAAATCGCGAACCAACCGCACCCATTCAGTCCACGTTACAAACGCGAGACGCGCACATTAGCTCAGCCTTTGAGGCACACCTATCTGGCCACGAACCTGAACCCGAACCCGAAATCAATGACGAAGAAGATGGCGACATCAGCATAGATTTCTCTTTTGACGACATACTCACGTCAACTCCACCTCGCAATGCGCAAACAGGCTCGCCTGTGCATGTGGCTTGGAATAGCCCGCGGACTCGTTTGCCCGCTAGCCGCATCTCCCCTGTTCGGCCTAAGCAGCCCGTATTATCATCATTGTCGTCACGCGGCCCTCCACAGTTGCAATCGTCAGCCCGCCCGGTCTCCCAGAAACCTGCTCCGTCCCTCTTCAAGAGACATCTGGAAACAGCCCAGAACCCACAACCCACCGGACCCCGCGCAACCAAACTTCACTCTGTCACACCTCTGCGCCGTCAACTAGTGAAGATACAGTTTGGCGCAGAACACAGACGTATCCAAGCCACTCGACAAACGGAACCTCCAACAATAAGATCCGCGGATCAAGGTTTTGCCGAGTCCGAACCAACTAAAATCACCCCCACCCCGGCTGTTGATCAGGACCTCTCTTATTTGCCGGATGCTTCGTCATCACCGCAGCAAGTGGAGGCCCAATCCAAAATCGACGCCTCGCCTAACCAACCCAACGTCCAACCCGCTAGTCCCGAATTCGAATACGCTAACGACCTATCATTTCTTGTTGACGCACCACCTAGACCATCCGTACGATGGGCAAAGCATGCAGGGACAAAATCTTTCTACTGTGACGAA